TAGTGAACATCCTAATGCTTTTTGGGACAGAAAAAAGCATAGTATAAGCTTACCATATGAACCAAACTTTAATGAAAACCAAATCCCTACAAAAGCTAGACCAATACAAATGAATACTATTCTATTGGAAATGTGCCGAACAGAAATAGCAGAACTCCTACAAAGAAAACTCATAAGACCAAGTTCTTCACCCTGGAGTTGTGCAGCTTTTTATGTTAACAAAAATGCTGAAAAAGAAAGAGGAGTTCCTCGACTAGTTATAAATTATAAACCATTAAATAAAGTTTTAAAATGGATAAGATATCCAATTCCCAATAAAAAGGATTTATTGGATAGAGTTGCTCAAGCTTGTATATTTTCCAAATTTGATATGAAATCCGGATACTGGCAAATCCAGATCCAAGAGCAGGATAAATATAAAACTGCATTCAATGTTCCATTTGGTCAATATGAATGGAATGTAATGCCTTTTGGTTTAAAAAATGCACCATCAGAATTTCAGAAAATAATGAATGATGTATTCAACTCTTATTACCATTTCATGATAGTTTATATTGATGATGTTTTAATATTCTCTGAATCCATAGACCAACATATTAAACACATTAATACTTTTATCCATGCTGTAAGCCAGGCTGGCTTAGTTGTTTCTGCCAGAAAGATTACACTTTTCAAAACCAATATCAGGTTTTTAGGACACATAATCCATCATGGCACTATTATCCCAATCGACAGGTCCATAGCTTTTGCTGATAAATTTCCTGATAAGATTCTCGATAAAACTGAACTACAAAGGTTTTTAGGATGCCTCAATTATGTTAGTGATTTTTATCCTAATCTTGCATTGGATTCTAAACCATTATATGATAGACTCAAGAAGAATCCTCCTCCTTGGTCTGACATCCATACGAAAGCAATACAGGTAATAAAGAGTAAGGTTAAAACCCTTGAATGTCTCTCTCTTCCACATCCTACTGCTTTTAAAATCATTGAATGTGATGCCTCTGATAAAGGGCTTGGAGGTATATTAAAACAACAAATTGATTCCAAAGAACAATTATTACGTTATACATCTAAGGCTTGGAATTCCACACAATTAAATTACTCAATGGTCAAAAAAGAATTATTAGCCATCGTTCATTGTGTCACCAAATTTCAAAGTGATGTTTTAAACCAACATTTTCTTATACGCACTGATTGCAAAGCAGCCAAAGATATTCTGCAAAAAGATGTACAAAATTTGGTTTTTAAACAAATATTTGCTCGCTGGCAGGCTATTCTCTCTGCCTTCGATTTCTCTATTGAACATCTTCCCGGGTCATCTAACTCTTTACCCGACTTTCTGACCCGTGAATTTTTGCAGGGGGGCAACACTGACGCCAACGACGAATCACCCCTTTCACTTGCACTCCAACTATTCCAAGAAAACCAATTTGATAAGGATCTTTCATCCTTAAATATGGGCTCTCGAGGCAATACTCGCCGGGGAAAACAACCCATGCATTTTTTAGTTCCCTATGAAGGGGAACCAACACCTTTGAATATTCGCTCACCATCTCATTCCCCAATTCACCAAATCACTTACCCAGAAGCACGAACTTCAACTCTTACATTTTCACCAGCCCAGTCAAAATCCATTCCTCCTACCAATACTCCAAGATCCGAATACATTGAAAGAGCCTTTTTAATGGACATTACCATTGATGAACATCAAGTTCACATGGATCCAAGCAAGCTTGCACCATTATACCTACTTAACCATCTTAATCCTATCAACGGGGTTAAGACCCGAGAGTATTATGAGGCTATCCTAATGGAAACAGGGTCCATCTCTGTTGTCCACTACTTTCAACATAATACCCGAATAATAGCCTATTCAAAAGTCCAGATAAAGAAACTTCTTTCATATACTGAGTGGGGTTCTAATCCCGCACAAGGAAAGAAATTACAAAATCCAGAGTTTTCTTATAAGTATTTTAAATATGCTGAGTACATAGAGGCTTGGCACAAATTTTTCTATTATCAAAATCCTAACAATACACATAGCTGGTATTTACAGTTCCGGCTACCTATTTTTGAAAGGTTCCCCACTTGGTTTCAAAATTGGTATTTTGTGTGCGGATCAACTGCTATGATTCTACCTCCTGCTTTTAAGGAGTTGCAAGAACAATTCATACAATACAATAATATTGATAATTCAGTTGACACTCACCTTTACTTTATGGCCTTGTATCAAATCCTTTGGATTATGAAATGAGATTATACCATATCACCCAATACCACAAATGATTATACATACATCCCTCGTTTGGGAAAAACCATATCTGTTAAATGGTGGGATATCTTCCAAATGGATCTCACCAAAGCCACTCCAAAAAGAATACCACCCAGAACACCTAAATACCAGGAAAACCTAAATACTCCAAACACCTCTTTTGATTTTCCAACTTACCTTCGAAATATGCTGCAAACCAACCCACATGCCTCCAAAGAAGAACTAGAGAAACAAATGAAAGAAATTTTTGCTGAAGCCGGAAGAAAACCCACATCTTCCGAAGAAACAGTCCAATCTTCTCCACTCCACACAAATAGGTACCTCCAACTCAGTCAAAAGGATCCAGAAGAGACAGACCCAGAAGAAACAGATCCGGAAGAGGATGATCCAGAAGAATTCAGTCAGAGACCATAACTTTATCATCCATGACATCACCATCCAAAGAAGCAATAAAAGACAAGATATCAAGATACCATATGGGACAAACAAGGGTCCCACTGCCGACAGCAAAAACTGTACTCCAATTGTAATAAGGCCAAAAGTGCCACTGTGCATAGATGCTTTTACTTTTAGTTTTTGTCTTTTTGTTCAAAGAGTATCTCCTTATGCTCTCGCTCTTATCTTCTAGAACCTCCATTATTTCTTTTTTGTTTTCTTACTGGTCCACCACTCTCCCTCTTTTGTCACCTTCTGTCGACAAAGTATCTCTCTCTTTTGTCACTTTCTGCCGACGATATTCGGCCAACCTGTCCATCTTATCTCCCCAAGAGATTCCTTTCGGGACTCCACTATAAAAGGGAAGCTCCTCCTCTTCTTCGAGGCAGGGCCTCACTCCTCTCATATCCAACCCAAAGGTTCTCTGCTACCCCTACCTGTGCATCAAACCTCTGAGCCTCCTCAACCTCTGAGTCTCCATAACCTCTGAGCCTCCTCAACCTCTGAGCCTCCTCAACCTCTGAGTCTCTAAACCTCTGAACCTCTGCAACCTCTGAACCTTTGCAACCTTTCAGACCCCTGCAACCTTTCAGACCCCTGCAACCTTTCAGACCCCTGCAACCTTTCAGACCTCTGCAACCTTCCAGACCTCTGCACCATTACTCTCACAGCAATAGTTCTGCAGCTATCTTCGCCCTCATAGCTCAAACAGGTTCTCTCTTACCTTGCTTTAATACTTATGTGTGATTGTAATATCCAAGATTTACCTTCATACTGCCCTCATCACTGGAAGTTATTTTCCAGTTACTGTTTATGTGCTCAGTAAGTTTCCTATCTCTTTGCTTAAAAAAACCTACTCCGTTTATCTCTCTGTTTATTTATCTCTCTGTTTATTTATCTCTCTGTTTATTTCTCTGCTTCTAGTGTTTCCTCTATGTAATATCTTTTCATATGTAATATCTTTTCATGTAAAATTTCTCTTGTACATTAATAAAGTGTGGACCTAGTATGTGTTTACTTATGCTTGCATATTATGCAATTTAAGATTTTATTTAATATTAAAATAGGCAATACTAGTTATGCTCAGTGGATAGTACTTGACATTTCAATAGTTCCGTTAATAGGAATCATATTGTTCTGTCTCAATTATTATAGAATTTTACAATCACTAGTTCAATACAACAGTCTGTTGTTTACATACTTGTTATAATCCCTGCAATCAAAAATCAAAATTCAAATAAATAGCAAAACAAGGGTTAAGAGTGACAGTGCTGTAGATCCTGGCGCAAATTTGGATTTATATTTTTCCTTTTTGTATTTTTCTTTTTCTTGTGTATATAATCAGGCATATTTTTTCTATCTAAGTAATAGCCAAATTGCTCACAGAAATCTCCAAGTTCTTTTTTCTTGGTGAGCTTTTGTTTATCTAGCTGTCTTTTTAATTTCATATCAGTGCATAGGGCTAAGCCTTCAGCACATATTTCTGCAGAGAGTTCTCCAAGTGTATATGATGAATATACTATTACTCCATTGTGTTTCTTTCGCAGTCTTTCCTTGACTTTTTCTGCGAATAGATATGGAAGACCAGCTATAAATTTTTCCTTCCAATGATCTAGCTGACAGTCTTCTCGTATTAATAGCCTTGAGAAAAATACATCTTTATACCATTTATAATGAGATAGAGTAGGACAGCGTAAGTTAGATAGCAGATCTTCTGATCTGGCTGCTAGTAAGGAGGTACTGCCTACAAAATGCAGAGTGATTGTATAGATTAAAGTGTTGACAGCGTCACTTTCTGTATATATGACTTCTTGATTTTGTTCATTTCTTCCTGTCCATTGTCTTGTATTATTCAAAATTCTTTGTTTGTTATCATCATCCGCATAAAAATCCCACCATCCCCTTAACCATCCTGTAAATCTATTTACTATTGCTTTAGCAACTTCTTGATCATGGATGCCTGCCATTTTATTTGCAGAGGCATACATAGTCATATGTCTCATGACATCTAGTATTTTTAATTCAGATAGTCCATCAATTTGCCAATTGACTATTGATCTTCCTGAATAGGATACTGCCTGTTGTATTGTATCTTCTTCCATTTGAATATCAACAGGGGTAGGTCTCTTATGATAGGGTAAGGCTGTTATGGGTTTCCAATATTTTCCATAAGCTATTTTATTGATGGTGTCCATTAGAGGTGTAGTATCCATAAATGCTTTTTCTTGATTTTGGATTGTATCCTCTATAATGGGTTCTTCTTTTGTGAGCATCATTGTTTCATGCTCAGGTATTACAGCTTTTCCTTTGTCAGAAGATTCAGGTATTTGGGAAATAATGGTTGATGGAGGAATATTGATTTGGGATGAAGGTACTCCTTTCAGATCTAATTGGGATAGTTTTGAAATTAACTGATCCATAAGAGATTTATTATTTTCTTCAATATGAAACTTATTTTTATTTAACTCAGGAGGTGGTTTGAATAATACTGCTTTAGGAATAGATGGTAGAATAACTTTTTCTTTGGAGACTATTCTTTCTATTCTTTCAGTTTGCTTCCCTATAGATTGTAGATATAGATTTGTATAATTGTTTTGTTCTACAATATGTGGTATGTATTCCTGTTTTTTATTTATTTCTTTATGTATAGCTTTATATGGTGTAGCCACGATATCATAGAAAGATTGGGAATGTATAAGCTCATTCTTTTTGGTATACTTGCTTTAAGTATAATACTTTTTTCAGGTGGATGTGTACTAGCTGTTGTAGTACCATCAGTACTTATATATGTTTTCTCTTCTATTGTTTGAATTTTGTCGAATGAGGGAATAGTAATATTCTTTTCTGAACACATGTCTCTTAACCATTTAAAAAATCCTATATTTAATCTTTCTCTGTGTAGAAATTTATTATATTTTTTATGTAGTAATTCCATCAGTCTAGGTGGCTGAAATCTTTTTAAATACCATTCTCTGATATTTTTATTTTCTTCTGATAAATAATCTTTTTTAAGAAAATCCTTATTTATTTTTCTTTGTTTTCTTTCTAGCTTGGCTGCTAGATAGGTTGTTATATATTCTTCTGAATATTGTGTATTATCATTACTATCATCCTCTATTTGTAGTGTACAGATTTGGAAGTCTTGTAATTCTTCTATACTGGGTTCAGTATTAGACGTTGTGGGATGAGTTTTAGATGTGTATGTTGGAATTACAATATTATCTCTGGTCCTATGTGTTCCTTGAAATTGTATGTCTGAATTGGATGAAGAAGAGTTATTAGGAGGAGGTAGTATAATAACATTTGGGTTATGTGAATATGATTTTCTACTTGGTATTTTTTGTTTACTATTGCTCTTCCTATTGATATTAATATCATCATGGACTTGCAAGTTTGCAAGTGTATTTTGAAATTGTATTTCTACATTACCATCTGTATGCTCTATTATTTGGTTAGGAATATGATGTTGAGGAATTTCTTGTGGTTGATTGGCATTTTGTAATGCCCATGATTGGGGTAATATGATATCTGACCATTTTATGGTTATATATATATATGTGTGTGTGTGTGTGTGCATGTGTGCATGTGCGAGTGCGCATGTACGTGCGTGGACCTGTGTGTTTTAATATGTCGGGCAACGATTTCATGCAACCGTTATATAGTAATATGATGCAACAACCTAAAAAACCATCTTATGGCCATTTGTTTGATCCAAATTTTGAAATATACACTCTTTTCATTCTAATGAACAATCACAAAAAAGAAAAAATTGAAAACACAACCTAAAAGTATTTTTTTAGTTCAATTAACATAGGCCGTTCATTTGATGAGATGCTTAGATCTAGGCCTTAGAAGGATTTTTCCATTTCCAATTTTTTTGGATGGCTTTATTATCATTAGATGAATAATGTTGAAAAAGGAAAAAATGATTTTAAGTTTATAAAGGCTAAGATCTTGAAATTCACAAAATGAATGGTCTAGATTCGTTTTGGGAGGGGACTCATTTTGACTATATCTAGGGTTCAAATTGAACTTTTTTTTTTGGGGGATTGATTATTGAGATGAAAAAAGTGTGTGCAAAATTTGGGGTCATACAAATACCACAAGCATGGTTTTCTAGAAGTGTTGTTGCATTATACTATGATACAACCGTTGCATTGGATCATTGCTCTAGTATGTCTATATGTACTCTGAATTGATCAAAGGCTTCTGGGGTAGCATGCCTGCTTTTTTGCCATTGTGGTGGGTGCTCGAGCCCCTGTACAAACAATACCCTCTTTTTTTGAACCCAGCCCCTTTTTTAAGGAGTTAAAAAACAAGCGTCTAAAAAAATGTCATAAAGAAGTATAATTAAAGTGATGAAACTAACCGATACGACACTTTATGTTTGATGTAAGAAAATGGGAGGTTATATAATATATATTAGTCTTTTTGTCTTTATTTTTACTTCTTTGTTTTTTCTTTAAACTTGGGATGGACTTGGGGTTGAGTTCAAGTAACTCGCATTGGCCAAGGGTTGTGTACCTTGGTTGAGTTGTTTTTCTATGCTTGGTTGTTTCTTTACTTGTAATAGTAGTGTTATGGTAATTATACCTCTATTTTATTTGGACGGTGTAGATTGGATACCATTTTAAAAGAAGTGCCACCGTTTGACTTTGCCTTTGCCTTTAAAGACATGTCAAATATATACCGTCCAACTAAAATGTACAGTGTAAAGCACCACAACATTTACTTTTTCAAGGAAGATTGCAACCTTGTAAATCCTAACTGGTGTTGTTCTAGGTTGATGCTTCACACACACACACACACATACATATATATGGGATAATCAACAATTCACTACCTTTCAAAATACAATGGTAAATGTTAGAATGGGCCGTGAAAGGTGGATTTATTAATTATGTTGTTTATTTAAAAATAGCTACTTTTGTCATAACTTGTTCATTAAGTAAGCATGTATGTGTAATTGTCACTAAAATACAAGGGGATTTTTGTCATCTTTATAAAAGTTAAGTTGAATTTTTTTACTAAAGACGAGGGTATTGTAGTAATAAAGTTCTAGGACACTAAATTCCAAAAACGCAATCTACTTTTGTGAAAATTTCAAATATACTCTTACTTAAAGATTAAGTTACTTCATCATCATCATTTTATTCTTTTCCCAATTAATTGGGGTTTAGCTGCATGAATCCTTGTTCTCCATTATGCTTGATTAAAGGCCGTATCCTTAGTGAAGCCATAAGTCCCCACATCTTTTCGGACTACTTCCACGCACGTCCTTTTGGGCCTACCCTTATCCTTTTCAGTCCTTCCACTTGAACTGACTCACACTTCGTAATGGGTGTTGCACTTGGTTGGTGCCACGCATGGCCAGCCCACCTAAGTCTACCCTCTCTCATTTTATCGCCTATTGGTACCACGCCTAAATTTCTTGAATAGATGCATTTCGAATTCTATCCCATCTTGTCTTGCCACTCATCCATCTCAACATCCTCATCTCCGTTACACTCATTCTATGGGTATATTGTTTTTTGTCTCCCCAACATTCTACCCCATAGAGCAAAGCTGGTCTCACCGCTATCCTATAGAATTTTTCCTTTAGCCTCATTGGTATGCGGCAATCACGTAAAATAACGGTTGCATATCTCCAATTCACCCACCCAATTCTAATTATGTGTATGACATCTTTTTCGATCTCTCAATTTTTCTGGATTATTGACCCAAGATATCGAAAGTGCAGCCTTTTTTGTATTTTCTAGCCGTCAATCTTAACTACTTCCTCGTCTCTACTCCTATTATTACTAAACTTGCACTCCATATACTCTGTCTTAGTCCGACTACAATATTTCGCTATTGGGCTTTTGAGTATCTCATTGAATTTGGATGGTTGGGATCATGTGACGCTATATGACTCATAAATCTTTTTAGAGATTTGATTGAGGTGATATTCTGACGGCTGCTCTCACATGCCTAAAAAAATATAAAAAATTATAATTCTCAAAAAATAAAAAGGTCCAAAATTCCCTTTGCAATATTTCAGGTGGGTGGTCATTTTATTTTTGAAAATGGTTTTCTATATTTTCTTGAGGTGTAGGTGAGGAGCACACACCCATACAGTTTGAGCTCAATAAATCATGTAAAAAAATATAAATTCATATACATCCATGCACTCCCAACCATCCAGTTGAGATTGGATGGTTGGGAGCCATAAGAAGTATTGTGGCATTTCGCGCTTGAGCTTCTTTCATCTTTTTTCACGCGCGCGCATAGACATATATCGACGTAGACCCCGCCTAGCCCAGGTCAGGTCTAGGTCAAGTCAACCTGGACCCAACATCGCGGGTCCGGACTTGGACCCCGGTCGGTGGGTTGACGTAACCCATTTGTCACACCTATTGATAAGGATACTGAAACTTGAAATGAATATTTACTCTAGACATTATTGATTGATATTTGGTGGTTGTGAGTTTTTTTTTATTCCCAAAAAAAAGAAGAAAGTGTACTGCTGTTGTTATGAATCTTATCAAAGTGCTTATCAGAGCCTACTAATTACATAAATGTTTACAAGAAGTAGTCGCTTAGAATTGAGAATAATAGCATATGATTGTGATGTTTGTTGACTTTTCTAGAAAAACAAGGGAACGTTGGTGTATATTATTTCATATTTCAGTTTCTATCTATTTGAATTGGAGATTTCAGGAGAGACTTGATCCTTTAGATTATATTTTTCCCTTGAGTGGGTTTCATTGATCAAATAAGGACATGGGCTTCCTCGAGCGTCCATTCTTAGATACTAAATAGCATTTTCTTGTTTGAAGCATTGATTGGAGCAGAAAAACAAGTGAAGATTGGTGAATATTATTCTTTTCTTAGTTTCTATCCATTTGAATTGGGGATTTAGGAGAGAAGTGATCCTTCGTATTAAAGTTGACCTTAAGTGGGTTTGATAGATCAATTAAGATCATCCTCAGGCATTGATTCTCAAATATTCTGTAGCATGTTACTTGTCTGAAACATTGATATGAGAAAAGTTGAGAACGATTTCCACATGCTGTGAACAAGGTGGACTCTTCATTTGTGCGTGGGGGAAGGAGGGGGACTATAACTGCTACATTTTCCTTGTAATCATTGGGGTGTCTGTGTGTGTTCTTCTCATTTACTGCTTCTGACTTTATTTTTCATTGTTGTTTAGATTCGATATGTGAGGGGGGGAGTGGCAAGAAATGTTGCCGAATGTATGTCAAAGCTTGGCAGTAGGCCTTTCATCATCAGTGTGGTTGGAAATGACATGGCAGGTGATCTGTTTTGGTTCTTTCAGTTGCCTGGATGAAATACTTCTATTTGTTATGGTTTCATTGTTTTCAAGACGGTTATTTCTTGAAGGGGATTCGATGCTGGAGCACTGGAAGTCTCTTGGTCTTTCTATAGAAGGTAATATGATGTTCTGTGTCTTTCATATTCTTCATTTTTGTTTTTAAATTTTTATTTATTTCTATTTCTATGTTCTCTTTTTTCTGGAAGTTGACTCTGCTTTTATGTTGTCTTTGTCCTCTATATCCTATCTACAGCTCTGTCTGTCTGTCTCTCTCTCTCTCTCGCTCGCTCTCATACGCTCTTTACCTTTGTGGGTTTTTCAAATTTTTTTGTTTTGCCTTTGTTATTTTCAGATTGTAATCATCTTGGGATTTTTCATAAATTGACTTTTTTTATTTCTTAAAAGTTAATTTTTACTATTTCCTCTGTTTGGGTATTACTTTTTTATTATTTTTATCGGTCCTTTTATTTGGATACTTCTTATTTTCTGTGTTTATCAGCTTGAAAACTATGAGACTTCTTGAAATATTTTCATTTTGATAGTTAATGAGGATTCCTGAATTGTTTTTTGGTTTGAGTGGATTGTGTTTATGCACTTGATATGTTGTATGGATTATAGCAAGTACTCTTTTTGTTTCTTGATTTGTTCGACTTCACTTGTGCACTCTCTTTTTTATGAGTATCTTTGGAATATTGCAGGCATTCGTAGATGCAGTGATATTGTGACACCTATTGTATCAAACATATTTGATCTGGGTGGGGAGTTATCAGCTGCCGTTGCTGATGTCGAAGCAGTTGTAAGTTTCTTTAACAATCACTAGTGTTGCATTCTTCAACTACGCATGTAGTGAAGTTACTTTAAGGTGCTCATTATTTGCTTTCTGGCATGGGTAAAACAGATTTTTTATTTTTGATTAATTTAAATGAAAGAGATGTTGGGATGCACTTAGTTTGCCTTCTTGAATAGGCTTTTCTTTCATTATTGGAATGCGTGTGGTACAGGAGAAGTCTTTGACTCCAGACTGGATTTGGAAATTTAAGCACAAAATAAGTTCCGCGCCAGTTTTAATGGTTGATGGCAACTTGGGTCCTCTTGCTCTTGAAGCTGCTTGCCAGGGTATGATATTTTCCATCTTCCATAGTATGCTTTTCATCTGATCTCTTGGTATTTAATATTTTAATGATATTTGAATTATTATATTTATGGTCATTTGTTGCACTATTCTGTATCGTAGCAATTTTTTTCATTCGAGGTTGTTCTGCGTGCTATTTTATTGCTATGGGTGGTTCTGTAAGCTATTATATCTTGGAGCATCCTTGTTACAGGCTAGTGAAGGGAATGAAAATTCTTTCCTATTAATTTGCTTATCAGGAATCATGTGACCTGGAAGTTCCCATTAACATGTCTCCTATTCCTAAATTCACCAGGGTGGCCGTATGTTCTTTCTTCTCGACTCTACTATAGGAATCGAGCCTTGTTTGCTGAGGGTTCGAATTACTGGTAACCTGGTATAAAAGTTATTCAATTGTAAATAAATAATGAAGACAACCAAGTTTAGGGGGAAAATTTATATTGTATGATAAATGAGACGTCAATCGTGGAAAACGTGTAAAAACTAATGATTAAAGTAAATGAATGCCCATTCATTTGTTGAATTTGGATTTTTTTCATCAGGTGCTCTCTTGACATTTCTATCATCTGGTTTCTTACCTCAGTAGCAGCAGATTCGAGGACCCCAGTTTGGTTTGAACCCGTATCAGTGGCGAAGTCTGTAAGAATTGGAAGTATTATCAAGCATGTGAGTCTTTGAATTTGTGGAAATATATTTTCTGCTATTTTCTTAAAAATTTTTAAGGGTAAACTACATTCCAGTGGACAATGTAAAATCAGGTATCATTGGGGTTGTCCCCATCAAATGAAATGAGTGGTGGAGAGAGAACATCTGGATTATGCCTTGTTCTAGTGGGCTTCCCTCTCTCTCTCTCTCTCTCCAATACTCTTTGTTATTTCATTGGATTGTGAAGTTTCATTGAACCATGGTTTTCTACATGGTTTTCTAGTTTGTTGCATTATATTATACCCTCGCACTTCTTATCTTGAGATTCTGCTCTAGAACTGCCACGTTACTTTTCTAATCTGCCTTGACTCTTTTCAGGTAGCATATACATCACCTAATGAAGATGAGCTTATTGCCATGGCAAATGCTTTATGTTCTGATCCTGGTTCGTCTCCAATCCAGGGAATGAGTAAAAAGGGAAGTCATAAGTCCATAGACTCCATGGTTTGTATGCTGAAACCTGCCATTGCTTGGTTACTGGAGAGAGGTGTTGACATGGTCATCGTGACTCTTGGATCAAATGGGGTACTTTTATGTTCTAGGGAGGCCCCTGATTTCAGCAGGGTAACTGCGCATAATGCCAGATTCAGCAGTTTTGAGAGAGAATTGTATGATCTTGTGATCTCAAATTTGGTATCCAACCGCCAATTTGGTAACATCAAATCTGTTAAATCTAATCACAGAAGTGGGGTTCCTTATTTGTTTCATTTTCCCGCTTTACCTGCATCTGTTGTGAGCCTCACAGGTGCTGGTGATTGTTTGGTGGGTGGATGCCTTTCTTCTCTTTGTATGGGTCTAAATATCACAAGCAGCATAGCTATTGGTATAGCTGTTGCAAAAGCAGCGGTTGAGAGTCAATATAATATTCCTCCAGGGTTCTCTATTTGTACAGTTGCAGGTATGGTGAATCTTTTAGTACTCCATATCATTCAATGAAATAGTTGTATCAGTTTATTGGAAAGTGTACAGTGTGGTCCAGTGGACGATGGCAAATTAGCATCTGTTTGGGTTATCACCTTTCTTGATGTGATGGATTGTGATGGAGGGGGAGTGGGACCTACCAGAGAAGGATGTGACACCAATGGTGGGGTTCCACTCTCCATTGCAGTTTGTTATTTCATCTCGAGTGTGATGATGAGCCCAATGGATATTTGCATCTTTCCCAAGTTTATTTCTGTTAATTAGTGCTTCTTGTGCGGAAACTTAGTTGTCATGATGGTTATTTAGTTTTTGCTTACGAGCTATTCTGAATTTTTAGTCAACTTTTTTTTTTTTTTTTGTGATTCCTTGAGTTTGTAGAAAGTAATGTAGTACATAGTTCTTAGCAAACTGTTTTTAAAGGTATTCTTGATCATCATTTGATAAGCTCTCATCACTATAGGCTTCACTCTAAAAATTTTTGGTCAACATAAGTATGTTTATTTTGCCATTATAAATATTCCTTTATTCATCGTTCATAGCTGTCGACGCCATTGATCACAAAACAGTCTTTCGAGCTCTTGAAGAAATTATATTGAAACCTTAACTGAACTAAAAAATGAAGCAATATTTCCTTCCTTTTTTCTAATCTTTTTTATATATTAAGCATGAGAAGGGGCAGGTATCTGCAGAGCTCAAAGGTGAATTTAAAACTCTAAGCAGCAGAGTTCTTTTTGGAAATAGAAAAGTATAGCTGAATTTGATACTTGCGTTCCTGGAATTTTCTTGTTTGTTCGACTGTCTTGACATTATATTTGCTCATACCATGGAGAAAACTCCAATGTGTTGACAATAATTTGTCGAATATGATATTGTGTCCGCTTATATCATGGAAAACTCTGATAATTTTGGTACTTCTTCAATCCTGGTGCAGATGATGCAAATAGAGTGTTCTGTGCTGTGAAAGCAGTTGAAGCGGGCTAATGATGGATAATGTATGAGGCATTATCATTTTGGTCCTCGTCAAAGAAGAAGAAAAAAACATATTTATGGCCTCTTTCCCAATTTGTAGTAGCATGGGGCTATCTAATGGAGCTGCTGATCTTATTGTTTCTGTTGAAGTCAATTTTTCTTGGCTTTGCAGAAGGATGTGTTTTGAAGTGGCAGCACTCATTTGAGGTATTATGGACATGTTCATCAATGGGTCTTTATTTATTGGGAAAATATCATTAAAATGGTTAAGCCATCCCAGAAAATCACTGAGGAGGTCAAATCAACCGATTTATCAATAAAGTGGTTACTGTAAAAAGATCATTGGACTCAGGTGCCTCGGCAACTATTTTGTTACAGAATTCCAAAATGTCCATGTTCTAGATTCGGGACTATGAATATGTAGGGGTATTTTGGTAATCTTGCCCCCTTTCAAGTGGCTCAAACCAAATGATGTAAATATCCTTGTTTATTCTGGATTGCAAATGAGGAATAGGTATTTCGTTTAAAAATCTTGTTTCGGGTTTAGAATCTGTGAATAAGTAAGAATATTTACATCATTTGGCTCAATCTAAGTTGCCCATGATAATGCTTATGTTGTTTGGCAGTGTCCATTATAAAATTATTTGAGATAAATTTGTATCTTTTTATAAATAGTGTTTTTTTTACTTTATTCAAAAATTTGTTGAAAAACAGAGAAACAACTAATAATAGCTTAAAATAGCTAAAAAACAGTATATTAATTGCATATAAGATTAGTATTCCTAGTAAGATTAATTGTCATCCACCTCATTTTTTGGCTGAGAAGCCTGTCTTGTGGGCGCTCTCTTTGGACTTATATATATTATGTTCCTTATTAAATACAATGTTAACTCTTATCAAGAAAAAGATTAATTGTCATCCAAACATGACATAATGAGGTTTTCACTATTTAACAATTCATCAATTCTTTCGGTCTTGTGCCTAAAAAACCCATCAAGGTGCACATCAAGTACACAATAGAACAAACCCATATTGATAGAGGGGCAAAGTGAAAATTGCCCCTCTATTAATATGGAAGTGGTTTTTAGGCAAATTATGTAAGATATTGTTGTTATAAAATATTAATGTCCCAATCGAAACTGCGAATGAGATATTGGTATTTGGAAATGTGACTATTTTATTGGCGACATAGTGAGACATTGGTGTTGAAAAATATAAATATTTAAAGAAATCATTAATTTAGTTAGATCCCTCAATATTTGATAAAAAAGATATAGACATATCACATGGTTTTAAGATATTTGTGATTTGAAAATATCATGGTTTTAAGATATTTGTGATTTGAAAATATCAATATTCTCTGAAAATAAAATGCTACAAGTGGAATATTAGTATTTAGCAATACCATCATCTCACAAAGTGACCAGGGGAGATATTTGTAGTCAAGAATACTGGTTAGATATTTGTATTCAAGAATACTAATATCGTGGTATTTCACTTGATATAATGCTTTTTCACTAAATTAGAGATTCGGTAGGGGTTGCAACAGGTCCCGTCCCGGACCCAACGAACCCGAATTCATCAAACCTGGACCCAAAAATATAGTGTGGGACTCGGACTTGATTGGACTTGATCCAAAAATTAAAATATCTATGTATTTAAGTATATTTGAATATATTTCATATGTTGGAAATAAAAAAATATCAGCCGGATCTGGACCTGACCCAGACCCGGACTCGAATAGTGTTCGAATCCAAGATTTGGACCCTGATACAACCTACCGGGTCCAATTTTTAAACTCATAATCCGGACCTGGTTTGGGTGGGTCTGCCCCTCGGGTTCTAAGGTCGGGTCCATGGCCATCCCTAAAATTTGAGCCTGTCCCATCCCATACTACGTGAGAAAATAAGTCTAAAGATAAGAATTACATCCGTAACAATGTATACTTCACTCTGTTTACATAACATGGATCTCACTTTATGTATTCTATGTAACTCAAGTGAACCTAGGTTCGACTTTCCATCTTATATAAGGGGCTAACAGAAATGTGCCATCCCCACGGAAAAACAATGCTAGCAATATTTTTGAGACAAAAAAGTATTTGTGCCCGAATTTATTTTCCTCGTTTCAAGCAAAAAAATTAAGAAGTTTGTATCTTTTTCTTTACCCTAAAAAATTGTTTCCCAGGTAGATTTCCCAAATACAGAGCCGCCCATTTTATAAAATACAATTAATTCTACCAAAGCACTCCCATGAATTAGAGAGAGAAACTATTTCAAATTTTAAATTTGAGAGAGAGAGTTTTAGAATTTTAGAGCGAGAAATTTTATCTAATTTTAGAGAGAGACAATACCTAATAATTTTGATAGAGAATGGGTATCTCAAATTTTTAGGGAGATAAACTATTTCAAATTTTAGAGAGAAAATACCTAAAAAATTTAGAGAAAAACTCTAACAAAATTTTTAGAGAAAGAAATTATCATAAATTTTAAGTTTTAGATAGAGAAATATCTATTTTTTTAGAGAGACAACATCTCAACATTTTTAGAGAGAAACTACCTCAAATTTTAAATTTTAGATAGATAAACTATCTAAAAAATTTTAGAGAGAAATTTTCTTAAATTTTAAGCTTTAGAAAGATAAGATAGCTAATTTTTTTTAGGGAAACTATATCAGAATTTTTAGAGAAGCTATTTCAAAATTTTGGAGAGAAACTATTTAAGAATATTTAGAGAGCGAAATTATCTCAAGTTTTAATTTTTAGTGAGATAAACTATCTCGAAATATTTAGAGAGAGAAACTATCTAAAATTTTAAGTTTTACAGAGAGAGAAAATATCTTAAAATTTTAGAGAGATATACTATATCAAATTTTAGAGATAGAACCCACTTGAAAATTTTTAAGAGAACTTTTAGAAACTATCTCAAATTTTAGAGAGAGAGAGTATCTAAAACATTTTAGAGAGAAAAACCGTCTCAAAGATTTTAGAAAGAGAAACTATATTAAATTTTAAGTTTTAGATAGAGAAAGTATCCTAAAATTTTAGAGAAAGAAACTATATCAAATTTTAGAGAGAGAAACTACCTAAATATTTTTAGAGAGAGACTATTTGAAATTTAAGTTTTAGAGAGATAAAGTATCTTAAAATTTTAAAGAGAGAAATTATATTAAATTTTAGAGAAAAAAATACTAGAAAATTTTATAGAGATAAATTATCTCAAAAGTTTTAGAGAGAGAAACTGTCTCAAAATTTATAGAGAGAGAAAATATCTCAAATGTAATAAAAAATGACATAATAAATAATATAATTAAAAGTATTCAATGAAAAAGGTTAAAAAAAATCCATAAAAATGTTATGCATCTATGTACCCTTCAAATAGTAGAAATTTATTTGATAAGAAATACCATTCTCAATAAATATAGGGAAATTAGAGAATGTGACCATTTACCTTTTGATACAAGGTGGTCACAATTAATCTTGACTATTGGATGTGAAATTGGGTAACTGTGAGCTTCATTGACCAAGCTCAAACTTCAAAAGAAATTTTTTCGAACTTTGTGACACTTCCAAGCTATCAAATTTCACATCAAATAGTTGTAAAAAATTGTGACCACCTTGTATCAAAGGTAAAATAGTCTCATTGTATATAATTCTATAAATAAATTTCACAAGAAATAGATTTTATAAGAAAATATATTTCTAGGTAACCAAATAACCCATAAATCATTTTCATTTGTTGGTGTGGATAAATAGATTTTGATGGTTTTTATCTTCTAAATTATCTCCTTTAGAACCCTTTGGAATAATTGCTTGCATGTTTTCTAGCCATCTAATTTCTTTCTTGGTATAATGGTCATAAGCATAGGATCTAATCAAGGTTTCAAAGAACGCTAGGCGGCCCCTAGGTGGCCAACCTGGTACCCAATGCGTAGGCGGGCACCCAGAACCTTGGACACCCTGTAGTACAAATTCTATATATTTATAAAATATATACATATATTTGTGTCAATTTTATAATTTATTGTATTTGAAAATTTTGTATTATTGTAACATGTTTTTTTATATACAAATATATGGCGTATCGCAAGTTGAGAATAAACTTGTTCAAAATTTCAAAATTCAAACCCTACAAAATGTGAAAGTGTAATAGGATATAGATTAGTGTAATAGGATATGGATTAGTGATAGTCTCCAACTCTCCATATTCCATAATGGGATGAAAAAGTTTAGGGAGCTTTTTCAAACCACAATTATTATTTTTTATTCCCATAAATAGGTACAGCTAAGACATTGCATTTATGGAAATATTATTTTAATTTTAATTTTAAGAGTTGAAAATATCCCTCATAACCTATTGAAAAATTTTTAAGGTCAAAATTACTTTTTTTTTTTTTTCGGTATTTGTAAAAGACAAAAACAAAAAGCGCTTAGCCTGCCTAGGCATCTGGCCAGGTACATCTACCCATATAAAACCGCTTGGGTATACAATACTTCAGTCTAGGCTGCCTAGGCACTAAGCGGACCGTTATTTAAAAATTGGTTTAAAATTGAACCCCATAGTGGAGGTTTGAAAATGTTAGTTTCTCAAAGAGATTTACCCATAAAGTACTTTATTTTGAAGGGACGGAGTTGAAAACTGCCCCACAAGCAATTTAGTACCCCATAATTGACCTTATTATGTCCTTTGAGAGTTATTTGACATTACGGAAAAACATGTACACTCCTAGGTAAACTTTTGGTCTCATAGGTAGGTAGCCTATTGATGCTTTTAAATTTAAAAAAACCTCTTATTTCTATTATTTTGACTTTTTTTTTTACTCCAAATTATACTTTTTTTTTTTTCACTTATCCCCACGACCGGGTCCCATAGTTTGAAATCCCTTTGCGCTTTTTTAATCCTGTTATATCTTTCCCACCTCCTTTCTCTCTCTTCCTTGACTCTTTTTCTCTCTCCTCTGTAAGAATCTTCAACCCCCATCTCTCTACCCCATGAACCTTTCCTCCTCTCATTCTCCTCTATTAACAATTTCCCTCTCTCTCTCTCTCTCATGGGGTAGATCGAGAAAGGGGAGAGGACAAACATTCATGGGAAAGAGAGAGAAAGGGATTAAACAGAGATACAACGATATTAAAAAGGGAAGAGGGGATTAAACAGAGATACAACGATATTAAAAAGGGAAGAGATTTGGACTGTGGGGGGATAGGTGAAAAAAACAAATGGCAATTTGAAGAGAGAGAAAGACAAAAAGAGTTAGGGTGTTAATTTGAACCTTCTTTAAAAGTTGAGGGGGTCCATGGGCTACCCATATGGGACCATGAGTTAGATGGGGGGGTTTACATTTTTTTCCCCTCTTTGTGGATTCATCTGTTCGAGGATGATCATATTCATGTGCTTTTGATTGTTTCTTGACAACACATTATTTATAATTCCCTTTTTTTTTAACATGTATGCTTACAAAAATCAAGAGTCAATGGTGCACCTCGAAAATCCATAGGAAAATGTTACTCTAGTACTAGAAAATCGTCCGACTGATCATTTATGAATATAAAATAAAATATCTCATGTACTAAAAATAATGCATCTTGTAAACAAATTTTTTTTACAGTCCATTTTCAAGTTTTCAAGTATTTATAAATCTGTTCGATCTGCACCATGAGCTTTTATAGATTTGTTCAGTTAAAAAATAAGATACCTATATAATGAGTGTAGTAGAGATGATGATGTTGAGATATTAGTGACAATACAAGAAGGGATATAATTTGAAATATATACATTTGAAAAAATTTAGGTATGATACTAATAGATGATAAGATGAGAGAGAGTAAATTTAGGTGGGTTGGTCATATGTGGCTCAGCGCCAGTATAACACTTGTTAGGAAGTGTGAGTTAATTCAAGCGAAAGGGTCAAAAATGGCATGAAGTAGGTCTAAAAAGACATGATTGGAAGTAGTGAGAGAATATATTGGGACTTATGATAGTATGACTCTTAATAGAGCAGAATGACAGATCATGATTCGTATAGGCAACTCCAATCAGTTTAAATAAAACTTTACCGATGATAATGAAATAGGGTATAAAGATATTTTTTGTAGCTATCGTAAGTTTTTTTGACACCGAAACTGCATTTGGACGTAAGCTTACTTCAATTGGTTTAAGGTGTTTGGTATGAAATGCACCTTTGATTAGGTCATCTGGCCGCCTTTTGTTTTTCTTGATAAGTTTGGGGCCACTTCAAACATGGGTCTTAGGTCTCATTGAATGGCGAGAATGGGTTGGTCTTCCCATGACATTTGATTGCTTTTAGAAAATGCCTGTGGGTGGTGGTGCATTTTTATCTTATGAAATGATGGTTGAATTGACCTATAATACTATGGAGTTACTTAGTCTAATCACTTAAAATTTAGATCCTTAATCGAGTCTTATGGATTGAAATCCGGCTCATTTAACGAGGGAAAATGGTTTGATAGGGCTGCAGCCCTATATAAAACCTGACCTCATAACTCGTCAAAAATTATAATTTTCGAAAGTGAAAAGGTGAGCAGATGTTAGAGGAAGGGGTGAAATGGATAGAAATGGATGAAATGCAAACGTGGATTAAATGTTAGGGAGAGGATGAAATGCATAGAAAAGTGGACGGGATAGAGAGAGTGTCCTCATCATCCGATTTTTTTTTCTAACTTTTTGGGGTTGGCTACTTGAAAGAGAGTGTAGAGATTAATTGTAAAAATATGAGCAAAATGTTAAATAGAGAGAGGTTAAATGTATAAGTGCGTGAACTGTTTTCGTTGATTAATGAAAAGAGAATACAACAAAAAAAAGAAAAAGAAAAAGGTGAGAAGAGCAAGAAGAAGTGCGGGTAAGGATGGGGAATCCCTCTCACAAGACCATCTGTAGCAGCATTCCTCTCCCTATGAACATGATGAGCAGGACCTCACGATTTCCCAAAACAAGGTCAATGCGATCACGAATGTGCATCCACTACTAGGGGAGCAAGCAGGCTGACAACACCACTTGATCATGTTAAATGAATCCCCTTCAACTATAATTTGATGGTTGTCATTCTCAACCTTAGAGATCCCATAAAAGAGAGGCCAAAACTCTATTTTATTGGTCGAACAAGGGTGCAGGTATCCTTGATAGGACCAAATGGTGGCCCCCAAAGAATCCCTGAGTTGACCATCATAGCTGGCAACTCGACCTTCCTCCCTAACACATGCATCAAAATTGAGTTTAACCCACCCCCAGGGGGAGGGAACCAACGGCTGTCCTTGATGAACTTCTTATTATTCAAAACTAGAAGATCAACAATATGAGAATAAAAAACTCCTTATGAAAACCCAAATTGGGAGAATTGATAAATACAACGATAAGGAGAGATGACTCAATCAGTTGTCTTTAGAAAGAAGTCTTCATCATCATAGCTGTCTTTCAATTAATTGGTGAGGCTACAAGTCCCTATTTCTTTTCGGATTACTTACAATCATGTATTTTTGAACCTCCCCCTTGTCCTTTTCAATTATTCAATTTGAATTAACTTGCATCTCATAATATGTGTTGTACTGGGTCTATGCCACACATTGCCGGCCCATCCAAGTCTACTCTTCTCTCATATTATCACCTATTGGTGCCACACCAAAATTTTCTCAAATAAATTAATTTCGAATTCTATCCCTTCTTGCCTTGCCACTCATCTATCTCAACATTCTTATCTCTGCTACATTAATTCAATAGGTATATTATTTTTTGTCCGCCTAACGTTCCGCCCTATAGAGTAAAACTGGTCTCTCAATTGACTTGTAGAACTTGCCATGCAACTTTATTGGTATGTGGCAATCACATAAAATTTCAGTTGTACATCTCCACTTCGTCCACCCAGCTCTAATTCTATGTGCAACATCTTCTTTAATCTCTAAATTTTCTTGGATTATTGACCCAAGTTATCCAAAGTGCGGTCTTTTTGGTACTTCATGGCCATCAATCTTAACTACTTCATTGTCTCTACTCCTATTATGATTACTATGTCATCTGCGAACAACATCCACCAAGGTACCTCATCCTAAAGGTGTTTAGTTTAATTCGTCTATAACTAAGACAAAAAGGTATATGCTCAATGCTGACCCTTGATATAGATCTATTGTCACTGAAAACTTACCCGCATCACCACTAATTGTTCTTACACTAGTTAGTGCTTTATCATTTATATCCCTCACCAAGCAATGTAATGTCTGTAGAAACAAGTACAACAAACAATTCAATTGTGGCTTGCTTTGTTGACGTTTTGCTTGTGGATGAAGTTCATATAGGGCCTAGGCATTATGAGAACAAAATAAAATCTCACTTCAAATCCTCATCCAAAAAGCATTTTCGGCATCGAAAATCTACATGATGCTCTAAAATTAATTTCCAACATCAACAACGAATTTTAAAATAAAAAAGTAATAATGAATTTTTCAATAAAAAAGTAAGTATAGATCATGTGGATATGTGAACACTTGTTTTTAGGGTGAAATGGATGGTCCAGATGGTTTGTTGTAATATACACTATTTTTAAAATATGAAATCCTAATTTGTTTACACAATTGTAATGTTCAAGTGAAGATGATCGATTAAAAGATATTTCATCTCTCTCATTTTTTTCATTTCATCTTTCTTTCTACCGATTTCTCCTCTGTCCGGCTTTTCACTCATACTTTCAAGTATTTATTTATTCATTTCCTCTTTTTGTCAATTTTTCCTTTCTCGACTTTTCACTCGAATTTTCACGTATTTATTTAGGAATACGGTTTGATATAACTCATCCAAAATTACAATTCAAGTATCGAAAACTTTTACATTGATCATCTCCGCTTGAACGTCATGGTTGTGAAAAAAATTAGACTTTCAAACTCTAAAAATAGTGTATATTGTAATAAATTATCTATACTGCCCATTTCATCGTAAAAAAAGGTGTTCACAAATCTGCTAGATTTGAATCATTTTTTTAGTTTCAAATTTGACGGTCTCTATTGAGAATTGATTTTAAAGCCACTACAGGTATTTCAACTAGATTTGAATCATTTTTTTAGTTTCAAATTTGACGGTCTCTATTGAGAATTGATTTTAAAGCCACTATAGGTATTTCAATCGCCAAAAGTGCTTTTGTGACGATGATTTGAGGTAATGCTTTATTTTCATAAACCCTAGGCCTTATAGAAACTTCATCTTCTATTTATCCATTTCATATTCTCTCTACCTATTTCTCTCTCTCTCTCTCTAACAATTACTCACATTTTCACGTGTCGATTACGATCACTCTATCTTTCTTTCTATCCAATTGAACGACTCTCTCAAAATAGTAAGTTCCGCGTACACGCCTCCCATGAACGATTCTTTCCCGCTTTCGTCACTGAAACGGAGTTTCAGTTCAAAAACCAAAATGCAGCTAACAATTATGACCAACTGAAAGTGACTCCTCCACCTTCAACGTCCTCCATTAAAACTTTAAAACCACAGATTCTCCTCCTCTACCTCTTTGGACTCTCTCTCCCTCTCTCTGATTCCTCATTCCAATTTTCTCTGTTTCTCTTTTCTCTCTCTCATTCATTCTCTTTTCCATTGACCCTCTCTCTCTCTGCTTTCTGTCTCTCTTTCCGTAACAGAGCTTTCTTTCTCTCTCTTATGACTTAATATCCGCAACACTTACTTTTCGTGCACATTAAAACCTAATATGCAGGGCTTTTGCATAGCACAAGTTGCTGAGCTTCATATCAATCCGAGGAAGACGGTTAGGATTAGGGCTCTATTTTGGACTCGTTACAATTGAACTTGAGGGGTTTGGTGTTTTCCATGGCTGGAATGAGTCGAGAAGGAGGTGAAAACCAGGCGAAAATGGTTATACCCTCTGGCCTCGATCGAATCAAGACAAAGTTACGTAAGTTGAGGAAACGGTCAAAAGGAAAAGAGGAAGAATCGATGGACCTTGGATCATCGAATTCGGGCAATGTCCAGCCTTTTTTGAATGAAAAGTGTGGTTCTGGGACTGGTTCCCGAGAAGGTACCTTTTGTGAATTTTTGATTCATCAGTTCCAGTGATTTTCGGGTTCTTCTCTTACTTTTTCTTCAATTAGTAGAGAGTTTAAATATTAGGTATTTGATTCATCAGTTTCTGGAATTTTCTGGTTCTCTGACTTTTGCTTTCATTAGTAGAGAGTTTAAAGATTAGGGGAATTGGAGCCTGTAAATAGTCAGGAAAGGAACTTAATCGCGTTGAATGGAGAAATTACATGAAATCTGATGACTGGAAAAGGGGGGAATTATTCTCGAACTCTAATGACAAGAAAAAGAAGGAAAGAAATTAAAGTCTAATGAAAAACAAAAGAATGGAGAAAACACAGGAACTTTAGCGACAAAATTGATTGGATAGAGTGCATGTCTCTTCTGTATGCTGGTAACTAAGAAAATTGCTGTATATTTCTCTCTCTGTTGCTAGTTTTGAATTTAAAACTACTGAGAACAGGAAGAATTTCAGTTATTTATTTCATTGGATTGGAATGATCACAATAATATTGGTTAGTGATACCTCTGCTTTGTGAATTCGCAATATAATTCTACTTATTTTATTTATCCGTTTTGAATTTGACTTTTTCGTACATTAGTGCCATAATTTGCAATCAATTTCTATTTCAATTGAAATTTGAATTACTAGGAAACAAAATAACTTTAGACACTAACTTGCTGCATCAGATTGTAGATGGTATTTTATGAGTTTGTGAGACATGTGCTTTGTGATTTTGGTCTATATTTCTAGCTATTTGATTAACCTATTTTGAGATTCCACTTGTTGGGCACATCATTATCTGGTTGTCATCATCTTCATTATTATTTGCTATTATATTATTTCCTTGAAAGTTTGGAGTTTCATTGAAGAATGGAAATTTTTAGGAGGGGACTTAAATGGTCATGTCGTGAAGGATAATAGTGGATGTGAAGGGGTATATGGGGGATATGGGTTTGGGGAAAAAAATGAGATGAGTGATGCTATTCTAGATTTTTCTATAGCCTATGACCTAACAATAGCAAACACTTACTTTAAAAGGCAAGATGAACATTTGACAACCTATAAAAGTGGAGCATATAAAACCCATAGACTTCTTCCTAGTTAAGAAGGTAGATCCACCATCATGTAAAGACTGCAAGGTTATCTCGGGAGAGAGTTTGACTACCCAACATAGGCTCGTGGTTATGGACATCTATATAAAGACATGGAAGAGAAGGGGTGAAATTAATAGGTGTTTAAGAACTAGGTGGTGGAATTTTAAAAATAAAAAAACTACACTTATTTAGAGATAAATTGGTTAAAGAAGAAAAATGAAACTTCGAACATGAAGTCGATGTTATGTGAAATGAGATGGCTGACTGTATTAAGAAAGTGGCAAAAGAAGTTTTACAAGCATCTAGAGGGAAAAAAAATTCTGATAAGAAAACTTGGGGGAGGAGTGATGAGGTTCAGAAGGTCATTAGCAAAAAATGATCATGTTATAAAACTTGCCAGTGTAATAGAAATGATCAAAACTTAAAAGAATATAAAAATGCTAAGAAAAACACCAAACAAATAGTAAGTAAGGCTAAACTTAAGGTATATGATAAGTTATATAATAAACTAGGAACAAGAAAAGGTGAAAAATATGTCTTCAAATTAGTAAAAATGAGAGAGAAAAATTGTATGGATCTAGACTATATTAAATGCATTAAGAGTGAGGATCAAAGGCTCCTGGTGAAGGATGAAGATGTCAACGAAGGTGGAGAATTTATTTTTTAAAATTATTAAATAATAAACACAATGGGAACATAGAACCGTTGGCATAAATTAAGGCGGAGGTCATAGATACATTCGTGGGACTAGAATATTGGAAGTGAAAGAAACTTCGAAAACGGTGAAGTTATGAAAGGTTTTAGGACCAAATGGTATCCCATTAGAGGTTTGGAAGTACATGGGGGAGATTGTCATCGATTGGCCGACTAAGCTGTTTAACAGGGTGTTAAGAACAGAAAAAATGCTAGACAAATGGAGGAAAAATGTTATAGTACCTATTTACCAAATCAAAGGAGTCATACATAATTGTGCAAACTACCGAGGGATAAAACTTATGACCCATACTATGAAGCTCTGGGAGAGAGTGATTGAGGAACGACTAAGGCATGAAACGAGTGTATTAGAAAACGAATTCAGTTTTATGCTAGGGAGGTTAACAACCACGGCTATTTTCCTACTTAGGCAACTGATTGAAAAGTTTAGGGTGAAGGGAGAAGACCTCCACAATCTTTATTAATCTAGAGAAAGCTTATGATAGAGTACCTCGAGATTTGATTTGGTGGGTGTTGGAAAAGAAATGAGTCTCCAAACACTACATCGGCTTGGTGAGAGACATGTACGATAGAGCATTAACTAGTGTGTGAATAACTAGTGGAGAGACGAGTGAGTTTTCAGTGACAATAGGTCTACATCAGGGGTCAGCATTAAGCCCATATCTCTTTATCTTAGTTCTGGATGATTTAATTAGGCACCTACAAGATGTGGTACCGTGGTGCATGTTGTTCATGGATGGTTTTGATCAATGAGACTCAAAACGGCGTTGACACAAAGTTAGAACTTTGGAGGGATGCTCTAGAATCTAAAGGTTATTAAATTAGCCAGATTGAGACAGAGTATATGAAATGCAAATTTAATAATAATAGGAGTAGAGATCAGGAAGTAGTTAAGATTTACAACCAGAAAATATGATAAAGAGTGCACTTTTGATATCTTGGGTCGATAATCCTATAAAGTGGAGAGATTGAGGAAGATATCGCACATAGAATTAGAGCTGTGTGGTCGAAGTGGAGATGTGCAACCTGAATTTTATGTGATCGCTTCATAACAATGAAGTTGAAGTGCAAGTTCTACAGGACAACTGTGAGACCGGCTTTTCTCTATGGGGCGGAATATTGGGCGGTCAAAAAGTAATATACCCATAGAATGAGTGTAGCGGAGATGAAGATGTTGAGATGGATGAGTGGCAAGACAATAAGGGATAGAATTAAAAAATAAATGCATTAAAAAATTTAGGTGTGGCACCAATAGGCGATAAGATGAGAGAGAATAGATTTAAGTGGGCTGGCCATGTGTGATGCAGACCTAGTACAACACCTGTTAGGAGGTTTGAGTTAGTTCAAGTAGAAGGTTCAAAAAAAGGGTAGGAGGTAAGCCCAAAAGGACATGGTTGGAAGTAGCGAGAAAAGATATCGGGACTTATGACCTCATATTGAGGGTATGACCCTTAATAGAGCAGAATGGCGGACCATAGTTCGTGTATTAGACCCCAATTAGTTGGGAAAAGGTTTTGACGACGACGATGATGATAATTGAAGAATGGAAGTTACTAGAGTACTCATGTCTGCCATAATAACTAACCATAATGTTAACATGTCCTTGCTCATGAAAAGAAGAAAACAATGTAAGACCTAACATGCTTATTTCAAGATTATCCCAGTTAATGTATCCCCTGGATCCATGGTTTCTTTTTTGTGAACGGTGCAGTAATTAAAATTCCATCTAGTTAAACATGATCTACAACTGGAGTTTTACATCTTCAGTCCTACTAGTTGTGAACAAATTAAGTACTTATCAGCATCGTCTGTCTCCGTGTTTCACCATATACTAACTTATCGTGTTGCCCCTGTTATACTTTGTGGTACAGTGTCTATATATATTCATTTCTAATATATGCTATGTTTTATTGGCTACTAGCATAAAAAGTTTTCCAATTATCATGTTTTTAAAGATAATTCACATGGTCTTATTTTTCTTTAGAGCTTACAAATTTGTGAATAAGGTGTCAACAGTTCTTTTCCTTGTCATGTTAATGAACAAATTGCAAGATGCTTGTGTGTTTCATGAATTCTGGTACTTTTCGGGTTCTAGGGGAACTTCTTTATGATGGTAATAATCTAGCATTTCGCTCTACAGTTTTAGCAATGGCTCATTTGCCTTGAATGTAGGGCAAGTACAGTTCCCTAAAAATCCAATATTGCTTGTTTTGAATAAGGACTTAGCAAGGAGAAGAAGATTGCTCGCTTTTCTGCATCTCTTGTTGAAAGGGATTCTAAGAGGGCTTTAGGAGACAAGTTTGCTAACTCCAAGGTGAGGTCTGCTCTAGGCGAGCAAAACGGGTTGGTCATAGAATTGCTGGGGTAAATAGATGTTGATGGTTTACTTTTTATAAATTAATTTTGTTGAACTTAGCATTATTTGGAATGTGAGATGCTTATGCTTCAAGTATAATATTATTGACAAAGTTTTGTTGGATTAAAACCCCAGGAAATGATGGATATATTAGGACCACAACTGTCAAGAGAGATACCAAAGAGCTTCAAAAGTTTCTCCTATGAATTGGGTCCCAAGGGTGGTATTAGGCCTGTCTACCAACGCGCACACAGTTATAATGACTTGAAGGTATAAACGGGTTGCATATCTATGATGTATCTGACACAAAGTTATAAAGCTCTATTAAGCAGATCATCTGAGCTATCAAATGACTATATTAGTGTAATTCTTGTTCATTTCTTTTGCCAACTGAGCTTACTCCCTCTCATGATTGTTGTTTGCTTGTGTTGATATTCAGGAACTCTTGGAATCATTCCATACAAGGTTTGATGCTGTGAAGGATGCCGTTAATGCTGATCTTGCTGCTTGTTTGGGAGACGTTGAGGAGGTTCTTGAGAGTAAGGAATCCTTGTCTTCTGAAATGAAGCAAAGGATTGCGGATCTCTTGAATCTTGTGCGAGGATGCATGGGCATGTCCTCCTTAGAGTTTCGCAATAAGTGTGAAGAGATAGTGCAAGAACTAGTTGAGAAGAGACAAAATATTCAAATAGGCTTACTTAAACAGCTGGTCACAAGGATGCTTTTCATCTTGACACGATGCACCAGGCTATTGCAGGTGCAAAAATGGAGTGAGCCAAACCATGAAGATTCTATTCATAAGTTCAAACAGTGCTTGGAAAGCGTTCCATCAATCCCTATGCGATTGGTGCCTAAGAAAACTAAGTCAAGAAAGCCCAATGACAATAGTGGGAAGGAGACCCATGTGAGCAGTGAGAGAGTCTCTTCAAAGGAAGATGTTGCACAGTCAGAGCCAATGATAAGTTCCTCTTTGCCTAAACTATGTCTTCACGAGAAAGATAGCACTTCCATTGCTTCAAAGGAAAATTCTCTATTTAATTTATCACCATGTGATACCCATTCAAGAAGTTACAACGTAGAATCCAGAGGTTATGATTTTACTGTATGTGAGTGTAGTAGGGGGCTGCCTTGTGGCAATGAAGGTCACACCCAACCGAGTCATGAAACAATTGATGATTCACCACAAAAGTTAAGCTCTGAAGGGTCTGATTTTGTCATCTGTAGGATATGTGAGGAAATGGTACCTATATGTTACGTAGAATCTCATTCCTATATCTGTGCGTATGCTGACAAGTGTGATGTGAAAGGCACTGATGTAGATGTTCGCCTTCTGAAACTAGCAGAAGTGATTGAACAAATTATAGAGTTTTATACACCCCAAAGTTTTCGTCCATCTTTTGGTGGCTCAGAGACTTTGCGAATGGAAAATGCAAATGCTTTAGTTGCGTTTGAAGGTCTGTCCCCTAAGGTTAGTGAGTGGCATAATAAAGGTGTGGAAGGAATGTTTGCAGATATTCATGAGATGGACACCTCATGTATAGATGATTGTCCACCCATGGCTTCCAGTAATTTGAAGGGCCACTTGGTTGCAAAGCTTGAACATAGTCTTGCATCTTCCACCAATGGAAGTATGAGTCCAGCTTCCTCCACAAATACCCCAAGGTCCAGTCACTTCGATTTATATTGGTTAGAGCACAACTATCCCTCAGTACCAGAGGATGTCTCACAGGTTAGAATTATTTATATAACTATTTATACTTTGTACCAATTGACAATGTTTTTTTTTTGGTAATTGAAATTATTTTTGGTTTTCATAATTACAAGAAAATAAATATTTAGGTCTTTCATTTGATTTTACAATTGTTGTTATGCTACGCCCCGTTAGGTCATCATATGTAAAATGCTTTACATTTTGGATTCAGATGGTTATTTAAATGTTTGGAACACACCTTTTCTGATCGCACTGGCTAAAAATTGGTTGCTTTTTTTATTTTTAAACTCATTTGTTTATAACATACTGACCAAGCTACAGACTGTCTCCCTTTAAGCTAAGGTAATAGCTTGAGATCTTATGGTTAGTATAATTTGTGATGGAAGAGAATATTATGAGGCCATGCTGCATGGTTCTCCACTATGTTTCTCCCAAGGAACTGATGATGGACATGAAATGTGACCTATTTCTGTATGAACATTTTGAATTTGAGTTCTTAACAGAGTGGAGGTTGTAACTTTTTATACATAGAAATGAATATGCCTATGGCACTTGCTCCTGTCATCACGAATAAGGTCTATTTTAAATGTAATAACTTCTTATATTTTTGATTTCTTTTGTCAGTTTTAGTCTTAGTTATTAGCCTAATTTCTATTTTACCAAAGTCTACGATTTTAGAGTGCACCTCGGATGCAATTTACCACACTGCTAACTGGAGTTTCTTTTGCAGATGGTGGAGCTTGCTGACATAGCTCGCTGTGTGGCCAGCATGGACCTTATGGAGGAAGGGGTCTCTGAATATTTGGTTGCATGCATGCATGATTTACATGATATTCTGCAGCATAGTAAGCTAAGGGCTCTAATAGTTGATACTTTTGGAAGTCATATAGAAAAATTGTTGAGGTATCCTTTTCTTGTTCTTCTCATGGAATGTGCTGTTTGACTATTTTCTGGAGTACTTTATTGTCCAGTGACTCTCGGCTGGTTGTGCTATTCTTATTTTATACCTGATGAAAATTTGCAGGGAGAAATATCTGCTAGCTCGTGAGCCACTGAATCAGGAAAATGCGAAGGAGGCTTCCATACATGCTGAAGCCAATGGATCTTCCAATGATGCTTCTCAGTATATGATGCCAATTGCTCTTCATCATAAGGACCGCATAAGCATTGAAGACTTTGAAATTATTAAACCCATAAGCAAAGGTGCCTATGGTAAAGTCTTTCTTGCTCGAAAGCGAACCACCGGCGATCTTTTCGCAATCAAGGTCCGTATTGCAACAAAGTGAATTATTCTATACTTGAATATGTTTACCATGTCTCTAATATTACAGGCTCATTATGATTGGCAACTAATAAAATCATCATCCTAATCATCATCATCATCTGAGCCTTATCCCAACTATTTGGGTTCGTCCATATGAATCCTATTTCGCCATTTCGCTCTATCAAAGGCGACACCTTCGGTCAGACCATAAGTCACCATATCTCTTCTCACTGCTTCCATCCATGTCCTTCTGGGCCTCTCTTTGTTCTTTTAGGGTCTTCCACATGAACTGAGTTGCCCCTCCTAACTGGTGCTGTTCTAGTCGACGCTGCACATGACCAGCCCGCCTAAGTCTACTTTCCTTCATCGTATTGCGTATTGGAGCCACCCCTATGTTCCTTCAAATGCACTTATTTTGAATTCTATCATTTCTTATCTTGTCACTTTTCTATTTTAACATCTTCATCTCAACTACACTTATTCTTTGGACATGTTGTTTTCTTGACTGCCTAAGATTCCGTTCCATAAAACATGGTTGGTCTACGACCGTCCTATAGAACTTATCCTTCAGTTTCATTAGTATGTAGCGATCACATAAAACTCCAGAAGCACATCTCTACTTCGCTCACCCAGCTCTAACTTTGTGTACGATATCTTCCTCAATCTCTCTGTTCTCATGGATTATCGACCCAAGATATCAAAAATACTTTCTTTTAGGTACTTCTTAGCTATCAATATTAACTACTACCTCGTTTTTATTTTTATTATTACTAAACTTGAATTCCATATATTTTTTCTTAGTCCAACTAATTTTAAGAACTTTGGATTCTAGATCATCTCTTCAAAGTTCTGAGTTTTTGTTGATGGCACCTTTAATCTCACCAATCAAAACTATGTCATATGCGAACAATATACACCATGGTACCTCATCTGTAGATGCCTAGTTGACTTTGTCCATAACTAAAACAAGGAGACATGGGCTCAATGTTGACCCTTGATGTAGGTCAACTGTCATTGAAACTCACTTGTCTCTCCACTAGTTGTCCTCACACTAGTTAGCGCTCCCTTGTACAAATCTCTCATCATGTCAATAAGTCCTATAGAGACTCCTTTTTTGTCCCAACACCCACCAAATTAACTCTATAGGTGCCCTATCATATGATTTCTTTAGATCAATAAGACCATGTGAATGTCTTTTCTCTTTTCCCTAATTCAATCAATTGCCTATGTAGGAAAATAGCCTCCATTGGTGACCTCCTTGGCATCAAAGCGAATTGATTTTCTGATACACTCGTTTCATGTCTCAGTCGTTGCTTAATCACTCTCCCATAGCTTTATAGTGTGGCTCATAAGTTTGATCTTTTGATAATTTGTATAATTTTGTATATCTCATTTGTTCTTTTAAATAGGAACGACAATACTTTTTCTCAATTCAGATTCTACTCGTTCTTGCAAATTCTTTTAGTTGTTGACATTTTGCTTTGAGCATATATATGGAGTTCCTTTGTGACATCTTAATGTCATCTTGAACATCCAAAGTTACAGTTTCTAGGCATTACTATAGCTAATGATGAGAGAATATGTAACCATATAAATAAGAGGTAGAGAGTGAAGATGCTATTATCCATTTATGGCATTTGGACTGCATATCTGCTTCTTAAGTTGAATTCTGTTAGTTTTGTTCTTTATACATAAAAGTATTGTGCATTTTTTTGTTGATGACTCTGTTATTGAATTACATGTAAGCAATCTTGAATGGTATGACATGGAAAATTGATGCGGATGGTACTGTTAACATGACTCATGTAGTTTATGCAGGTACTTAAGAAAATGGATATGATACGGAAAAATGATGTGGAAAGTATCCTAGCTGAGCGGAACATATTAATTACTGTCAGAAACCCGTTTGTGGTATCTTTCTAAATCTCTTTCCTGATCATACTTTTGGGTGGCCAATTTTAGAGAAGTTTGGACCATACTTTTATTGGAAATGTTCTTTTGGTATTCATTCCTGATAGAACCTGAAAGTAGCTCACGCCATGCTTTTTCTAGTTGCTTATGTCTGGAAAGTGTTTAAGGAACTACGATATTGAATAATGTGTTGTAGGAGTATTTGCTTTTTTTACTTGTTAGAAAGAAAAAAAAAAGATCATTTTTTTGATTCTTCCATCTCTGTGCTTTGCAAGAAGTGTCCTGATTTGCTATGTAATGTGAGGGAAAATCACATCCAATCATTCAATATCTTGAATATCATTATTGGAAATGTTCTTTTGGCTCTTCATTCCTGATAGAACCTGATAGTAGCTCACGCCATGCTTTTTCTTATTGCTTATGTCTGGAAAGTGTTTAAGGAAATAGGATATTGAATAATGTGTTGTAGGAGTATTTGCCTTTTTTACTTGTAAGAAAGAAAAAAAAAAAAATTCCTTTGTTTGATTCTTCCACCTCTGTGTTTTGCAAGAAGTATGCTGATTCGCTATGTAATATGAGGGAAAATTACGTCCAATCATTCAATTTCATGAATATCATTATTTCTAGCGCTGGGATATACCCATCAAGAGTGACAAATTACAATAACTATCATAAGCTGAAAGTCCTTTGGATAATGAGCTTCTCTACTGCAAGGGACACACTTGGTGTGGGATGGAAATTTGCCCTTGGCTATTGGTCCATATGAGTGATCTTACTTGAACAAACCATGATAGATGAGCGTATAATGTCCTTGACTCCCATAGAAATGATGCAACACATGAAACTATCTTTGATGTATGGTTGTTGGAACACCCACAATTCCGAGTCGTTCCAAGAATCAGAATTACGGAATTGCAAGTGGCCAAATGATTCCAATAGTCGGAATTGTTGTCCATAAAATGCAAATCACATGAAGCGGGATTCGTACCATTTGGGAATTGTAATCAGATCCAATAGCAACCACATTTCCTACCTTTTTGGAATTATGTTCCCATCTCCTGATTTACAGGTATCGTGCATCAAACCACATGGAACCAGGCTAGAAATTATCAACAAACAAGTCCCAAAAGACAAGATTTTTTAGATTATCTATAAGGAAGGGTTGCTTAGTGTTGGGCTTCATATATTGAGTTTGCTTTCCCAGGCTCCCATGCTATTGGAATTGATGTCTTTGATAGTGCCCCTCCCCCCCCCCTGCAATTTTTTTTTTTGGAATCTGCCCTTCATCACGATTCTCTTCAAATATACCATTAACTAAATTTTAGATTGAATAAAGAAAATAAAAGCTCTTTATTTACTAATAATGCATCTTTAAAAAATAAGACATTTATTACAATTTCTCGAAATTTACTAATAATGTACCTTTAAAAAATAAGACATTTATTGCAACTTGTCAAAATTTTGGAATGATGTAAACTAGAGTTTGTTGACATGCATAGAGTTTTTAGATACCCATCGTATATTAATTATTGATAAATTTTATTTTAAAAATTTCAGGCATTCCGTAAAACTTTGGCAATCACTGTACCACCTGACTTGTTAAAGCATGTTAACAGACTTCATGTGATTTGTTAGAGCCCATCAGGGAATCTTTGTGTGTGCGTACAAAACATAAAAGCTTACAACTACAAATATACTTCCGAATATATTTGAAATTGGGAGTGCTCATATTGGTTGAATCACTGTCCTATGCAACTGTAAATTGCAAAATTTGGTGAAGTGGAATCTAAGGAATCTAGGTTCTAAGGACATCAGAACGAGATTAAAAAAATGTGGACTTGTGATTCCTAACTTCCAGGAGCTGGGATCTGTGGCAATTCCTTCCCGGAAATGCGGAATTGCGAGTCTGAACTGGAATAGCTACTTAGTGTGGACAATTCTGGTAACTATGCATGATAGTACTTGAACCATAGCCGGCATCACAAAAATCATAATTATATGATGCTTTAATGATGCTCATTGCTTGGTTCGCTGCTTGCTGGTGACAGATATTGTAATGTTCATGTTAATTTGTCATAGCAGCATAGTTGTCCATGTAACAATTTGTCTTTCTAAATCACTAGATGTCTATATGTGTTTTTCTTTGTCACTCACAGTGTCATAACTCATAATTTACTTGTTCTAGAAGGTGTCTATTTGTGTTTTTCTTTGTCGCTCACAGTGTCATAATTTACTTGTTCTAGAGGGTGTCTATATGTGTTTTTCTGTCACTCACAGTGTCAAAATTTACTTGTTCTAGAGGGTGTAAGAGAGATCACTCTTGGCAAGCCCTTTCTGCTTCCATTCTGTTAAATTTGCTGAATCTTGAAATATTGGCATACAATGTGATGGATTGTGTTCTAGATATCTATTTCACATTCAAATATGATTGCCTGTATGGATGTTTTACTTATTCAGCATACAAGTGGGTACATATATGTTATACTACATGAATTTTCAGTTTCTGTTTTACATAAATTGGCATACTCTCTATCCATTTCTTATATAACTATGGATGCCTTTGGAGAATATCTACAATTCAACATGTGATAGGCATTCCTCATTCTAGCATATGTCTTTCTGCAGGTACGGTTCTTTTATTCATTTACATGCAGAGATAACCTCTATTTGGTTATGGAATACTTAAATGGAGGTGATATATACTCCTTGCTTAGGAATGTTGGTTGCTTAGAGGAATCTGTGGCTCGTATATATGTTGCTGAACTGGTTGGTCCCAAACCCAGCTCATGCATAGATGTTTGGTTATTCAATTGCATAACTCGTATGATTTTGATCGTTTTAGGTTCTTGCTTTGGAGTATCTCCATTCTCTGGGAATTGTGCATCGTGATTTAAAGCCAGACAACATATTGGTGGCACATGATGGTCACATCAAGGTTTAAAAATCTCTAACATAACATGTCTCCCAGAGTCCTATGTAGATATTGTTCCTGACTTAGCGGTGCGTGCACCATAGAATTCTTTCAATTGAATTTAGTTAAAAGTTTTGGTATTTGTGTTATGACTCACCATGACTATGACTGTAACATCCATTCCAAACTAATTACTGTTTTGTTTTGTGTTGTTGTCAGCTTACAGATTTTGGCTTGTCGAAAATTGGTCTAATAAATAGCACTGAAGAACTGGGAGGAAATATGGGGAGTATTTCTTTCTTGTCAGAAGACCACCACTTGGGGACCTCATTTGAGGAAGCTTCTCATAGAGAGAAAGGAAATCAGCGGGTGGCAGTTGGAACCCCTGATTATTTGGCTCCTGAGATTCTTCTTGGAACAGAACATGGTTAGCTCATCACCTAAAAGGGGATCTGTTTTGGGGAAAGCTGTTAGTGTCCTACAGAGCATTAAAAGATGTTGCTCCCCCGCCTCAAAAACCACTTTTAAGGCGGGTGAGGGTCTCAAAAGTTCCAGATCAGTCTCTCTCCGTTTTGCAAACAATGTTCTAAAAAGTGATTCGTAGCTCCAAAAGTGCTCCAAATCTACTACCACCCAAAAATCAGATAGATCTGGGCCATCCCAATTTTATGGGCTCTAGATTTAAGGGATTTGTAGCCTTTTGGATTTCCTAATTAAGTCGTATTCGGAGGCACCACTCCAAAAACAATTTCCTCAATTAAAAAGTAAAAAGAAAAACTTTGGAGCTGGGATTTGCTTCAAAATAATAGGAACATAAAGAATTCACCCCCTTTTTTCTGTTTGATAGATTTCTAGTTATCTTCAACAGGGTCTTATTCTTATCTTCAAAAAATTTAAGGGCTTACATTTCTGAAAACTGTATCCAGGTTATACTGCTGACTGGTGGTCGGTGGGGATTATTTTATTTGAGTTGATAACAGGAATTCCACCTTTTGCAGCACGTCTTCCAGAGGTAATTTGCAAAATCTGAATCTGGTGATTCTAGTTTTAAATATTTTATCTCTACTGATATTTCTCTTTGTTACATGGCGAGTGAACAAGTTAGGAATTTGTATTTCTGATTTACGTTTTTATTATTCTGGAATACCTTTTTTTTTTTTTTTGGGGGGGAAAGTTTGTAACAGTATTAGTAAAGATATCGTGTTACATCAAGATACAGTGAAGAATGGCAGCCCACACGTCATGTGCTCTGTAATAGTACTAACAAAATGAGGATATATTCATGCCCCTTAATCAAAATATGGAGACAGTTTTCCTTGCATTCTAGAGAGCTATACATCAAAAAGTGGGAACATATAAGAGAGAGAGAAAGAGAGAGGAACTGTATGGAGAAGATAGAGGGGGTTAGGCTAGAGAGAAAAACATTAACTTCTTCTATGAGGCTGAGCTAGAAAAGGTTGTCAGGGCTACTGGCTGCTTCTTCTTTGGCCAGGGAATGAGCAGTTTGGTTCGCCTCCGTCCACACGTGGTTGAATGACACCTGGATGTCCCTGCATAGAGAGAAGATGTGGTCAAAATAAGGTGTCAGTCTGTGATCTCGAGAGTCCCCTTCCACTAATAGCCTGTGATCTTGAAAGCCAAATTGGATGGTTCTTAAACCTTCAAGGAGGGCAATGCTTTTGGTCCATTGTTGAGACCACCAATGTAAAGTCATAGGAGAGGATGAGAATACCACCACTTCAAATGCCCCCAAACCCAACTGGAAGCAGGTTGCCAAGGGAGGAACTGTCTATATTTAGCTTGAGTAACTCTGGCTATGGAGGAACCACACATTCGATCTTGGGTTTATGGTGGGCAGGAAGCCAAGATTACCTTCCAGTTGTTCATGAAATCTGATATTGAAAAAGTGTGCAGTCATCTGAAAGCATTGTCCCAAAATTTAGTGGATGTTTTAATGCAAGTGTGATTGGATTGGACTCTGGAGGATTTACCATTGAAGATCTGGGAGTTTCTCTGATGATGATGATCTGGGAATCTCTCTCTCTCTAAATGGGTCACGAGGTGGACAGGATCACAGTTCTTGGAATAGCAAGTGGGATCTGATGCAATTTAGGGATCATGAAAGACTAGAAGATCTCTTTGGTAGGGAGCACTGTCCATACAATGAATATTTTAGGGATCTCGATCCCACCTTTTGGGGATCTTGATCCCAACCTCTTGGGGATCATTCTCCTAACCTTTTGGGAACACGCAAAAAATTAAGACTACATTATCTAATTTTACAATTTCCATTGAGAACTAAAATTAAACAGTGTAATCTTATGAAATAAACTGTTTTAAGTTTTGTAAAAATTAAAAAGTGTAATCTTCAAAAGTTTGGGATTGCTGCCAACCTTTTGGGACCTAGATCCCTAACAGTTGGGATCAAGATCCAACAATTTAAAAATCAAGATCCCTTGAAGATCCCTCTTCTGGAGTGCCAAAGCCACCTGGGTTGGGCAATCTCTATAACTATGGACAGGATAGAGGCTTTCCACATGAGATGGCCTGCCTCAGGGTATTTTAATTTAATTTAAATTTTTTTTTGGGGGTGGGGGTAAAATTGGAAGAGCTGTTTGATCAATTGTTGGAGTTAACCAAAACTAGCAAAAATATTGCAAGTGGGCAGATCAGAGGCTGGAGGCAACCTTGCAGTGTAAGCACATGACATGTCTGTTGGGCATCTGGAAGCCTTGGCACTGTAGCTGGTCCAAAGTTAGTGTAAGAACTATCCAAGTGAAAGTGTGAATCTCGTGGGGAGTAGGGAAACCCCAAACCTTGTTTGAATGGAGGGAGCTTCTTGGTTAGTGTTATGCCCAAAAGGAAAGAGGAGACAGAAAATACCTCTGGGGAAGGAGCCATAGAAGGGAACTAATTGTAGCAACAAGCTCGACAAATTCTCAGTTACCTAGTGCCCTACAAAAGGTAGGGGTCCACACAGCGTTTCCCCCTAAGACTTTAGATATACCCTATCTTGATCTGCAGTGATCTTATGAGGTTTGGTCATTGCATTCCTAAGGGACTGTCCGCTAACCAAAGGTTCTTCCAAAAGCGGACGGGTACCCTTTTAGGCCCTATATCTTATGAATCTCTTGAATGAGAAGCGGCTTTGGCCTACATTTTTCCATACTCCAATGCATGGTGGGGGGTATATCTCCCAGATCACCTGCTGTGACAGTTAGTTGTCTTGTGATGCAAAGCGCCACCACCGTTTGCTGATGAGGGCAAGGTTATATTTCCGTAATTTCCTTATGCCAATTCCGCACCATCCTTTTTTTGGTAAACAAACTTTATTCCATGCAATTAAGTATATTTTTTGGTGACCATTTGCACTGGACCAAAAGAAGTTCCTCATGAGCTTCTCAAGTTTGTTTTCAATAATGTGGGCATGTGGAACAGGTGACATTTGGAAGATAGTTATATTTGCCGAGGTAGGTTTACTCAAAGTAGAAAACCCCTCTATAGATAGAAATCTACCCCTCTTAGGCAGCAAGATTACGCTGAAAGTTTTCCACAAGTGGGTTCCACAGGTGCTTGCAAGGTTTTTTCCAATGCATAGGCTTAGACCCATGCAGTTGGAGGGCAATGGTTCCACTCCATATCCTAGCCAACGTGCTAGGTCTGAGGTATCCAGGGAACTCCAACCAACTCCCATGATTTTTGTCTTTCTCATGTTCATCTTCATACCAGAGGAAATCTCAAAATAGTGGAGGAAGAGCCATAGTGAGTCTAACTGCTCGAAGGAGGCGTCACAAAAGATGAGGGTGTCAACCGGGTAGAGTTGTGAAGTATTTCAGGTCCTCTTGTGGATGAGTGGAGGCAGGATATTTTTTAAGAAAACTGTAATTCTGTAATTCCGCAAAATATTTTTCAATAATTCAGTCCAAAAGTTCTGCATTTGAATCTTGAAGACTATTATATCCTGAGGTCTAACTTGGAAGCAATGCTACTAGCATGCTTATTGGTAAGTCTAATGCAATGCTACTAGCATGCTTATTGGTAAGTCTAACATGCATGTCTATATTCTCTAAGTTTACCTGTATTCCATTCGGCAGTATTAATTTTATTAATAGTTACATGATCTTTTTATGTTTTTATATGAAATATTAAAGCTTTTTTATCTCCCTCATAACTTGTTTTTGTCCAGGCAATATTCGATAATATTTTGAACCGCAAAATCCCATGGCCACGTATTCCTGATGATATGTCATATACAGCAAAAGACTTGATTGATAGGTTAAGTAGTGCTATTCTTTTGTTCTTTAATTTGCATTTCTTACCAGTAAGAAAATGAATTTAGATTTTCTTAGTTCTTAAAATGGTTCTCTTGTGATGACATATTGTGAAAAATCTGTTGGCTAATTTGGCTAGATTACATGTAGTGGGTTGGACTGGTTTTATCTGATTGTGTGGTATATCCGTATCTAAAGTCTGATATTTCCTACGTATAGTATATAACTAGTAAGAAGCAGTGCTTTGCACATGATTGAAAAGCGTTGACTATAAAATGAGAAAACGTAAACTTTTTTAAATACAGAAATGTAATATAAAAACATAAAATAATAATACTTATGTTAATTTAACTAATAGAAATTTTTTCTTAATTTGTGAAATAGTAATACTATTTATCCCTTACAATTGTAAATATATATAAAAATTTTTAAAAGCATGAAATTTTGTAATAACAAATATAAAATTTCTTAAACATTCTTAAGACTGAACCCCCTAAGAAAATCAGTCAAGGCAAAAAATTATCAATCTAACTACGAAAATTAATATATTTATAAAGTATTCTATGCATATTCTCTGTTATTTTAAGCAAAAAAATTATAAAATAATAAAAGAAAAACTTTGCATACCTTTATAAGCCATTTGAACTTAATCAAGCATATCATTAAATGGATGGGATACTTGTGCAAACTACAAACTTTGTATTATCGAAAATGTTTTGTTTTTTTTTGTAAATATTATCATAAAAGTTTTGATATATAAGAGAACAATATATGAAAATTAAAGAGTCAACAAAGAATATTCTAAAAAAGAAAAAAATGTGTATGAAAGAGGAAGGATTGTGAGAGAGAGTGGATGCAATTCCATTGAGAGATAGAGAGCTTTCAATGAGATATTTAGTTTCTTATTAAAGTAATTGATATGATTTTTGGAAAAAGGAGATGTTTTAATAAAGGAAACTCCCTCTCGCTCTATCCACGGACGTAACTCTTTCTCTATGTCACACACCCTCACTCTCTCTCTCTCTCCCTTACCCCCTCTCTCCATACCCCCTCCCTCTCTCTCTCTCTGCCCACATACCCCCTTCCCTCTTATACCCTCTCTGTCTACCCCCTTCCCTCACATGCCCTCTCTCTACCCCCTCTCTTCCCTCACGTGCCCTCTCTCTCTACCCCCGTCCCTGACACGCCCTCTCTCTCTCCGTAACATATCTTTTCTATCTCTTTTAAATTTAGGAGTCTACATTAAAAATTTGTTAAAAATGCTCTTTTATGTTTTCAAAATACTTCCTCAAAAAAATTCCTTATTCCCATATTCAAAGTATTTTAAACCTTCCTCTTATTCATTTGAAATTTTTAAAATCTATTGAGAAGATAACGTACTAAATTTACGATTAGATCAAGACCGCTGAATGATAACTTTGTATCTAGGATCAATTCTATAGGCTATGTGATCCCACACTATCTTTTGAAACTTCCATATAAAATGCTAAACAAAATATTTGTGATTATCTTTATTGATTTCCAAAATAACTAAGTGTTCATAAAAAATTACCTACTTCCCCAAAAACAATTTTCTTGACAATGTATTTCCCAAGAAATATTCCCTATAAAAAAGTCAAATTCCAAAAATTAAATGATCATGTGTGTGTGAGAGAGATATGTATAGGTAAATTTCTTCTTTCTCCCCCTAAAACAGGTACATACAACTTTCTTCTCTCCGTCTCTCTTCCCCTAAAGATGGTACACATCTCTCTCTCTCTCCTCTCCCCCATAAAGATAGGTACCTATCTTACAATCTCTATAGCATTAGGGTCCCTTTTTATTTTCGCAACATGGGTCCAACCTGTAACTCTGGCTTAATAATAGCATAGATAAGATTTATCTAAATGTTTATTTGATAAAGATTTACATTATGACCTTGCTCCATATAATCTTTAACCTCATTTGTGTACTTTATGCTAATATTTTGGTTCATGTGTATGTTCGTGTGCATGCGTGTGTGTATGCACTGTAAATTCTTTTCATGGCTATTGCTTCTGGTACAGCCTTGAGTTCTATGTATAGATATGTTCATTTTTTTCTAATTTTATTTCAATTATTTCTGGGTGGCCCATATTATCTACGTCATCATGCAATATAAGAGTGACTATCTTGGAACTTGTGTTCGGCCCTCTCTAAATTGATAATGTTTGCAGACTTCTCGATAATGATCCAAACCAACGGCTCGGAGCAAAAGGAGCATGTGAGGTTTGCTCTCAAACTATACCACCTAGTCGACAAATTTTGATTTTTGAAAACCTAACATATAGCTGGTTTTTTAATTCTTTGAAGGTGAAGGCACATCCTTTTTTCAATGAAGTTAATTGGGACACTTTAGCCTTGCAAAAGGTGAGATTTGCAGTCTTATCTAATAATATTGAAAACAGAAAATGAAGGTTTATCACGACATTTTGGTTTATAAATTTGCAATTAGATTTTTTTTTTAATTAATCGAGCTGATTTTCCTATCAACTTGTATGTGTAGCATGTTTACAGTGATTATAACTTGCTCTTTTGATGGAGTCTGGCAATAAATTCCTGCATGAATGTTTTCATCGCTAAATTGGGTGTGCAATGTGATCATGGACCACCTACACAGCTTTCAGAATCAGTGGAATTTATATTTTGTTCTACACTTTTTTTTGAAAATTTATATTTACTTGTGCACTTCAATAACTAGTTAAACATTTTAAAGGTGTGAGATGCATAAATCAAATTGTCTAAGGTGATCCCTGAAATCCTTGTTATTTATTGTTACTGGAATAGATAAATATATTGACTTGACAGATCACCTGCTGGCTCTGTTTTGCAGATGCCAGATGGTAAAGATCTTTACTGCAGATGATAAAGAAAAACACACTCTCTTTACCAAATTATGCAACCGCATTGACTGGAAGTCCACTGATTCTTTGGTCACCTAAAGACATTGTCTGGTTGAGTTCATTTGGCTGAGTCCTTATGTACTTAATTGAGTCTACAAACTAGCAAGGTTTCAAAAAACGCTAGGAAGCCCCTAGGCGGCTGGCCTGGCGCCCAGTGCTCAAGCGGGCGCCTAGGCGGGCGCCTAAGCGGGCGCCCAAAACCTATAGTACAAGTTATATATATATATATATTTGTTTCAACTTTGTAATTTCTTGCATTTGAAAATGTTATATTATTGTAAAATATTTGTTATATACAAACATATGACATATCGCATGTTGAGAATAAACTAGTTCAAAATTTCAAAATTCAAAGCATACAAAATTTAAAAGTTTAATAGGATATGTATTAGTAATAGTGTCCAACTCCCCATATTACATAATAAGTGAAAATGTTTAGGAAGCTTCTTCAAACCATACAAAATTTAAAAGTTTAATAGGATATGTATTAGTAATAGTCTACAACTCCCCACAAAAAATACTTTTGATTATCAGAAATAGGTATAGCTAAGACATTAAGAGTTTATGGAATTGTTCTTTTAACTTTAGGATTTAAAAATAATCCCCATAACCTATTTAAACCTTTTTTGGGGGTTAAAATTACCCCATTTTCTCTTTTGGGTATCTTAAAAAAAAAGTAAAAAATAAAAACAAGCCCACATCCCTGGGCGCCCACCTGGCTCGCCCAGGTACATCCGCCCGTGTTGGGCCGCCTGGGTCTGGGCATACGGTGTTTTGGTCCAGGATGCCTAGGCATGTGCCTAGGCGTCAGGCGGACCGTTTTTTGAAACATTGCAAACTAGTGCTGAAAACAATAAGCAACTAGTTGTATGGGGAATGCAGTATGCATTCTACATAATGATGACCATTATGCATGATGCATAATGCTTGGGCTTAGTGATAGATGCAACAATTTGGATGAGGGAGGTCAAGGGTTTGAACCCTTGAAATTTGTCCCAAACAAGCTGACGTAGCCTTTCGAACTTATCAAAAAAAAGTATTGTACATCATAATGATGAATCTAAGTTGAGCATTTTTCTTCTCTTATTTCTTTATTTTATGTTAAGTTTTTTATTTTATTTTTTGTTTTGACGATCGGTTTTTCTCCTTGGTGTTCGTATTCATTTCAAAAGGAATAATATGAAAATCCTGATCAACATATCTATATCACACTTTTAAGTCATCTTTGCCTTTTTTGAACTATGTACAATCATTGAAAATGTTAGGAGTTGAATATATTGCCTAAATTGCTTAGGATTTGGCATTGTTCCAAAAGGCAAACCGCTTAGCGCCTAGGCAGTCCAAGAGCGAGGGTGCCTTGCCCAGGCTTAGGCAGTAAAAATAGGCGGCCTGCCCCTGGGCAGCCACTTAGGCGCCTGGGCACCCGCTCAGGGGCGAAAATGCCCCTATTCTAGGGGCATTTTTGGGATCTTTTATAAAAGAGGGGAAAAGGTAGGTTTTAGGCATAGTTACCGGGATCTCCTACTTTGGTAGTCGATCCCTTCTAGAATCTCGATTCTGTCGCTCCCGGGACGGATCTTTAAGGGATCTCGAATTTTAAATTTTGGGATCTCATACCCCAAAGATAAGCATCCCGATTCTTGCTGTTAGGGATCTCGATCCCAACCTTAAAGACTAAGACAATAACCAAACTGATGATATTCTTTATTTATAGCCAACTAGCAACACAAATATTGCTTGCTTGCTATAAATAATGAGATCCCTACTTTAAAGAGTATACATAATCCTTGATTATCATATACTTTAAGGTTGGTAACAAGATCCCCCAAACGTTGGGATCAAGATCCCAAAGGTCGGGATCAAGATCCCCAAAAGGTTGGAATCTCGATGCCTAATATTTAGGGATTTCGATCCGTAATATGTGCATTGTATGCTCGGCGTTCCCAACCATAGGGATCTCCTAGCATTTCACGATTCCTTGCTCCCGATCCCAGTACCATTCCTGCTTCCGATCTCAACAACTATGGTGTTAGGTTCATTTCAAACCTAAGCCCCATTAGGGCCCATTATATAGAGATAGAAACCTCAAAAAATTAGAGTTTTGTGATTTTCATAGGATCGAAGGGTTTTTCAAAGTTACGAGAAATCGATTTAAACATCATCTATTGAGATTAGATTTAGATTGGGCGATTTTATAGATCTATTAGAGGGTTTTTTAGAATATTTTGAGATTAGAAAACTATCTCAAAGGTGGAAGTTTGGAGATTGAACAATCAAAGTTAGTGAAAACTTTTATTTTTTAGATTGCTTGTATTATTTTGAGATGTCTTCTTTAAAGTTTGATTTTTGAATTTGAAATGCCTATGGACTAAACTATTTCTCAAATATGTATATTTTAATTTTTTACACAAAATCTAACCTTAAAACAACTTTTTATTCTACTCGGCGCGTGCGTAGGCGCTGGGCAGCCTGGACCCCCCGGCCACCTAGGTGCCGCCTGGCGTTTTTTGGAACATTGGGATTTGAAATAAATGTATTCAAGGGATAGCTCCAATAGGTGATAAAATGAGGAAACTAGACTAAGGTGGTTTGGTCATGTGCAGTGTCGACCTAGAACAACACCAGTTTGGAGGGGTGATTTGGTTTAAGTAGAAAGCTCTAAAAGGGCAAGGAGAAGACTCCAAAGGACATAAATAGAACTAGTGAGAAAAGGTGTGGTGACTTATAGTTTAATTGAGGGTATGACCCGCGATAGAGCAGAATGGAGGAACAAGACTCATTTAACCAAAATGGGGATAAGGCTCGGATGATAATGATAATAATAAGTGCATTATTCTATTACATTTTCTCCTGATCACATGTTAATACTTTGCTTTCTTTTGCAATGTGTATCCTTTGGATTTAGCATTTTCTTTCCATATTGAAATCAGTTGCTGTATTGCTCTCCATGATTGTACACTTACGTTCATCATATATCTCATTAAGTTGATGACTGTAATATTTCAATTTCTGTTCATAGGCTGCCTTTGTTCCACAAACAGAGCATGCAGATGACACAAGCTACTTTGTATCTCGTTATTCTCAACACTCATTACCAACAGGTGCAGACTCAAGCGATTGTTCCTCAGATAGAAGTAGTGATAATTCTTTGGAAGGTGGCCCTGAAGGAAGTGTATGTATACTATGGCAACTCTTCATATCTGATAAGAGAATCTTTGTGAATGGTGTTTTTGTTGCATATACAATTATTATTATTTTCTTAATTTTACATCTAATAAATTTAATTTTACTCACTTTGCTGTTATTGGTTCAAGAGTATAACATCAAATATATTGGTTTTATCCATTTCTTATTGACAACCCAAGAAAGAAAGATTGTGTGTTTTAAGGTTTTCCTATGACAAATATGATTAGTGTTTGCAATTGGACGCTTCAACAATGTAACCTGCTAAGCTCATGAATATAAACATTTTGAAAAGAAAAAAGTTTATAAAAGGTGTCAACTTGATATTGTAAAAGTAATGACAAACATGATTAGTGTCTGCAATTGGACGCTTTAACAGTGTAACCTGTTAAGCTCATGAATATAAACATTTTGAAAAGAAAAAGTTTATAAAAGGTGTCAACTTGATATTGTAAAAGTAAAGTGCTCGTCAAATATCCACTCAAAAAAGTTGTTCTGATGTCAAAAAGCCCTACAATTGATCATCTTGACCTCGAGATGTATGTATACGAAAAAAATAATTTCAAGTTCCAAAAATAGTGCATTTTGTAATACTATCAAGACCGTTCATTTTCAAAAATTTAGGTTTTTATAGATTTGCTTGATCTACAATATTTTTTGAACTTTAAATTTCATAATTAGCAGTGAAGATAGATTCTTAAGCCATCATCAGGGTTTTTGCCACTGGAACTACATCTTTTAGCAAGATTTAGAGGTGCACCCTACTTTGATTGTTTAAGTAGGGTGCACCTCTAAATCTTGCTAAAAGAAGAGAAAAAAAATGTTGATGTCTTTTACAAACCTCGCCTTTCTAAAAAGTTAGTGCACTTGCCGAGTACATTTTTTACTACCATGTTTGCTTTGTTCGTATCAATCTGATTTTTCTATTAAGATTTTGATTGTTAGCTAAGATGGCATTCAGGCCTGAAACCTGTTGTTTTGTTGGTGAGTTTCCCTTTGATAAAGTACCTTAATTTTCCCTTACATTTTAGTTTCTTCTTGAATTCAGGTAGATGAGTGTGATGACTCGACTGGGTTTGGCTTCTCATCGGTGGATTATCCTTTCAACAATTTCTCTTTCAAGGCGAGCCCATGTTTCTCTCTGTCTGTAAAATAAGCTTCATTAATTTACCGAATTGAAATGTGACTCATTTCCCTGTTTGTAACCAAAGAATTTTTTTTGTGATTCCGTTGACTCGTGTCTACCAGGGTTTTCAAGGATTTTAGGACCTGAAACACATCCTAATGCCAAGTCACTGCAAATCAATTTCCTCTTCAGATCTATGAATTTGAAGCGTCAAAAATAGTGTAAATCTGTTGTTCTTTAAATAATTCAAATGAATGGTCCAAAAAAAGAGTACAAGATAGACTGTTTAAAGTTAAAATTCATTTTTTTTATTCAGATTCCTGGTCATTGTGTTTAAGATGGATTTTGGAAAGTGAACGCACTATAATAGGTGCATCTAGGGGTGCGCCCAAAATCCTACCCTTTTGTAGTTGGTGGTTCATTATATTATTTTCCAAATTCTCCATGCTTCTTGCATTTACTTCAGACTAGAAAATCGTTCAGATCTAATTGGCTTTTCATTGCTTGGGATATCACATTTCAGTTTCCTTTATGGGATTGGTTAATTAAATATCACAAAAACCGAGTGGGATTTAATTTGATTCTCATCATTCTTGCAAAAGTTTTATTTTGTGCATATAATGTCTTCTTTTTATAGTTTTTTATTTTGTGCATATAATGTCTTCTTTTTATAGTTCTCATCCATATCTTGATCAACTGCTGATCCTTGTTCTCTGTCTTGCAGAATTTATCACAGTTGGCATCGATAAACTACGATGTACTCTTACAAAGCGGAAGGGATTGTTCAAAATGTTCATCCCCATCTCAAAGTCAGGACCCATAAAATACAGATACCCCCTAATTTTATCTCAAAGTCAGGACCCATTAAATACAGAAAGCCCCTAATTTTCTCGGTATGTTACCTGTGTTACTTACCCTGCATCACAGAAAAATGCAGCATTCATCTCGGGGCCACTTGAAATGTACAGACGTGTATAGGGGCTCCTTAGGGTTGGTCTGTTAAAAATCAAATGAAATGGTAAAAGAGAAATTAATGTAATGAATGAAGTGAAAAGGGTTTTGGGGTCCAATCCAGTTAGGACTGTATTTTTTTGCCTGTTGCTCGCAAATTCTTTTGTTTGCAATTGATTCCGTTCATCAAAGCATCGCCAACAAACTATTATAATGCTTGATGAGTGGTTAAGAAGCCGATTCACAGAAAGGTTTTGTAGGCAGGCTTCACATGATATAGCTTCTGGGTCCAAATTTACAATTGAGTGTACATTCTCCTTTGGACCTGAATAAAATTTTGGAATATCAGGATTTTGATTACTCAGAAACTGGGTTTTTGGTTTCTGTGCCTTCTCTCTCTCTCTCTCTCTCTCAATCTAGGAAGATTAGGAAATTGCACATTCAGGAATTGGTTCAGTTTTCTGCCCCAAAGAAAGTACTTGGACAATTGCATCCCTCTAATGGAAATTGCATCCGGGAGCTTTTGGATCCTATGATGTATTCATCATTTTCAAGATCTTTTTGGTCACCAGGATGTATTTGTCATTTCTAGGAGTTAATCCTTGGGACTTGTTCGTCATTGTCTCTTTATTTTGGACTCGCGACATGTTTGTCTTGTCTCTTTGTTTATTAGATATGTCCTTGACTTTGTCAAGCTCCAGGGACAAGTAGTTTATCGTGTGAAAGTTTCTATGACCCCGAAAGTAAAAGATGTGTAGTTTCAATGCATGGGAACTTGGCTGCATGGAGGTTGCACAGAAGCATGTCAAAGTATGGGAAATGAGATAAAGGTAGTCTAGTTATTTTTATATTTTGTTAGGGGTATTTTGTTCAATTTCTAACTCTAGGTTTTTATATATGGGACATTGTTGTAATAGCTAGTCAGTTCTTCCTCCTACTTGCCGTAAAGAGTTTCCATCTAGTTATTTTTATATTTTGTTAGGGGTATTTTATTAAAGTTCTAACTCTAGATTTTTATATAGGAGAGATTGTTGTAATAGCTGGTCAGTTCTTCCTCCTACTTGCTGTAAAGAGTTCCCTGTACCTAGAGAACCTTGAAGTGGAAGGCCATCTGCTTAGTGTAGTGGCAAGAATTGGAGGGTAAAACTCCCGTTTTCTTCACTCCGTTGATCGAGATCGAGGAAGCCGATTATTATGCAATCGGCTTTGGATCTACACTTTTTAGTGCCGGTTTGCGCTGCAGTCTCTCTCACATACGCACACTACTTTGCCAAGGATTATAGTGTCTGAAAATGGGTTCCGTTGCGTTCGTTTGTAAATGGACAGTTCGTGCTTTTGAGAAAATTATAAGCGTCCTGACATTGCAACTATTTGATCAAGATTTAGTTCTTGACGGTTATGAAAGAGTCAGCACTGTCGTCCGTTTATTCAGAAAATTAGCAATTGATTATATCTCAGAATCCTAGTAATAGCCAAACACAGAGAACACAAAAGTTCACTCCAGACACAGAGAACACAGAACTTCAGAGAGAGAGGTCTTACAGGTATGTAATTAAATTCTGTTAACCTGATGTGAGGGGGGAGGGAGAGGTGTTGGGTTTACGTGGTCTTTAAAAGACTTATGAATGCTTGTAAAAGGAAATGATAGAGTGGAACATAAACTCAGTGGGAGTATGGTCCCTCGTGGGCCATACTAAGCAAACAATGTTTGCAGATACCGGACTGACGATCTAGGACCCGGTTGGAAAAAACCCATGTTACATGGGCATAAAAAACAAATCCGAGAAGGGTTCTAATGGGTTAGCCTTTCATAAGGTCGGAGAATATGCTCGGATGAGTGAGCCGTGGGACTATGTGACCCTTGTCTGTGTGACCCTTGTGTATGATGGTGACCTACAGAGACTGGGGCCAAAGCCTCATCCATGTACCATCACATGACACGCATATCGATAGATCGTTCGAAAAAGTCAGAAATCCACCTTTTAGGGTGAAGTGTATGCATGTGTGAGAGATACCCCTACGCACCATAGGAGCTATGGTCGCATCAGGTCTAGGTGACATTGACTCGTCTCTAGGGAGGGACCTGAAATCCACAGCCCCTGCTTGGACTGTGGGTTATGGAAAACACTGGGTCGGTCTGATAAAGGAAGTGTGGTTTGTAGTCCCCATGATTGTTGATTCCTAAACCATATGGATCATTTTCCCATCAAATTAATTTAATTGTGTTTGTTTTATGATAAAAATTATTTTAAGATTATTATTCGAAGTTTTATGAACCTATGGATATTTTATTTATAATTTTTGGATTTATAAAATTAAGATATTGATTTTTCAATTGTTTAAATATTCAAATAATATTCTAAAATTTTTTTATTAATTTTAAATATATAAAAATATCATGGGGGCCCATTGTGCACATGGGCCCACCATATTTTTAGAAGGTGGGGCCCATAAGTGCCTCCCTTGGGTGGCACGCCCCACCCTTATTCTCGTTCCTATTATTTTTGGTGATATGTCATGTGGCCAAATGGTTGGAAGATATTGACTAAATATTGACTTGATATATCTTTGAAAGATTTTGTAGAAAAATTGGGTAGACTGGTGCTATTTTATGATATGCAGAATATTTTAATTAAATTTAATTTATTTTAAAATGGTTTTAGGAAAGGGGGATAATGATTCATACACATTCCTTAATATTGATGGCTCATCTATGAATGGATGGCTCAGATCTCTCACCCCACAAATCGCCTTTGATCGACGGTTTATAATCAATCTCACAAAAAGATGCAAGCTAAAAAAAACCCTAAAAAACCCTAACCTTATTCAATGCCTATAAAAAGGGATTGTCTATATCAAAAAATCTTTACATCTTATCTTTTTATCTCCCTCTTAAGAAATTTTCTCTCTCTCATGTTTGATCTCTCTCTCCTAAATTGTGAGAGATGTTTAGTTTATGAAGTTTTTATGAAGTTCTTCTCTCATATCTCTCAAATATGGATTTATGGCTAAAGGTTTTAGGGTTTAACAAAAAGAGAATCCATCTCTCTCATACTAGGTTGCTAAGAGAATTCATCTAGAGTTTGAATTTGTGATAAAAAGGGTTCATGTTCCATTGGTGCGACTTGACCAAAATTTGCTTTCTCAGTACGAGATTGAAGCTAGACCGTTGATCCTGCGTCATGAGATGGTAGTGACTCGATGTGGGGTGTAATAAGCCTAGTTGAGGTAATCTTCGGCATTCTTTCTTTTATTTTTTACGATCTTATTTTTTTTCTCAAGCATAGTGCATAGTTGTTTCAATGTCATCAAGCTATTAAGATCTTGGTTTTATTATTATGTTGATTTTATTTTGAAATTTATCTCATTATAATAGAGACCACATGTAAGTAATATTTTTTCAAAAAAAATTAAGGTGAAAAAAAAATATATATATATATATATATATATATTTCCCGATAAAAAATTACATAATTCTTTCTTTCAATAGGGTTCTCTTAGAGAATCTAGTCTGTGAAAAGGGTCTCTTAGAGATTCTAGAGAGAGGTCTCTTTATAAAGACTCTACACCCTGTTTGCTGGTGGAGAGATTAATCCTGAGAGAGACATAGAGTTAGAGAGAGAGAGAGATTTCGTAGCCGTTTCTGCGCGGAAAGAAGTCACAAAGATTGGCCAAGGCTCATTGATTACCTTCTGCCCATTAATCAAACTGTAATTCTTTTTCAATGAGTTTCAGTTCAAATAAAGAAAAAAGAAAATGACAATATCCAATTCTTTTTTTGACCACAAAGAAAAGGATAATATGCAATTTCTTATGACAAAGAGTTTAACCTCAGTCCCAAAAAACAAAAAGGCTTAATATTGGATATTAATATACAGGCCAAAAAGCACAAACAAAATTGTTTTTCTGTCTTAATTTGCAAATTGTTAGGCAAATATAAAGCAGAGAGGGAGAGCCATGAATCCAATTCTCTCTGTGAATTGAATAAAACCCATTTGATGATTCCTCTTCTTAAGGTGGCCAATGAGAGATTGCTCTGCTGCTACAATTCGTAGGTCTCGAGGGACTCTTTCTGAATATTTGCTCCTTTTTTATCTCATGTTCTTAGAGAGAGAAACTGATTGTTTCAGTAGAGAGAGAACTCCCTGTGTTGTATTCATCACTCTCCAAGGTTTTGAACTTCAAAAATAGGTTTTCTTCTCTGTGATGGATTTTGGTCAGTAGGTTTTTAGGTTCGAATTTTGAACCATTGTGTCTCTCTCTCTAAGTCTGAAGTTTCTTCCATCGCATCTCTTTGTTTCTCTGTCTCTAACTCCGAAGTTTCAACCATTGCATCTCTCTCTCTCTCTCCTCTAACTTTGAAGTTTCAACCGTTGCATCTCTCTCTCTCAACCATTGCATCTCTCTCTCTCAGCATCATTCAATGGTTTATACACAATATATGGGCCATATATACGGGCCACATATTGATTAGTTCTTTCTGTTTGCAAATTTTGTTCTCCTTTTACGAATTTATTCACATGAAAATTAGGGCATTCATGTAATAAAAATGAAAAGATTTTAAATAAAAATTGATAAAAATACTTATGACTATTTTAAGTGTATTTTGGTTAAATATTTCATTTGAATTATTATTTTCTAAATTTTTAGTGAATGCATCCTCTAAAGATGCATAATGTGTGCCCCAACCATTCATGTGAATAAAATTTGTAAAAGAAAAATATAAAATAGAAACCAAATCAATTTGTGGCCTCAGATAGGTCACTTTGGACAAGTGCTTGGCTAGTTTTGAGCTTTTCTTTTCTTTTTTTGGCACTGCTTTTATGCTTTCCTTATTTTTCTATTACTTGTTGTAAAAGGATTTGTTTCAATGTATGGGTCAGAGCAATGTTGTCATATTCGTTTTGGAATCTTTTTCGGTTTGGTGAGACAAACGAAGCAATTCAATGCTTCGGCCAATTCAAATGAAAACTTCGGATTTTTTTTTAAAAACTAATATAAATAAATTTGATATTTTTAAATAAAAAAATATATAAAAAAAATATTTTCTTTAAAAAATTATATAGATATTTCTTTACTTCGACCAAATTTTAAAATTTTAAATAAATTCACTTTACTTTGGTTTAGGCCTAAATCCGAAAGTTTTGACCTCTTCGGCCGAAGCGAAACGAATTTAACTTGTTACATAAATAAACGAAGTTGCCATTCAATGAATACTTGGGTTGCCTTTTGGGGACAGATGATCCTTGAGGAAAGGATTCGGGGTTTAACGAAGAAGTAATAATAAATTTTTCTCTAACAAATAATAATTATGGTCTTCTAATGTATATATGATAGCTATTTAATGCATATATGATAATTATTAAGCCATGTATAGCATGTCAAACACTTAAATTTGACAGTTCAATTGCGGGTTTCTTTGTTAATCTTATGAGGTTAGTGTAAAGTGCGCTGAATTTATTTATTTATTGTTTGGAGGTTGGTTATCAGGTTAAAGAGAATGGAACCCAAAAATTAAATCCTTAGGATACTCTTAAATTGGATTTTACCCGAGCGAATGAATAGTGGGAATGCTCACACAAGAGCATTAGAATTGTTTTGACACATCTCAAAATTTACTAAATTTATATGTGATGACTCTGAAAAACCACGTAATTGACAATCTCAACCTTGAGATATGGATATAGAAAAAAAAGAAAAGAAATTTCTAATCCATATCACATCAGATTAGAAATTTATTTATTTATTTTTCTATATCTATATCACATCTTATAAATGTAGACCATCAATTTTTATGATTTTCAAGCATTTATAGATTCGTTTAATGTACACTATTTCCAGAGTTTTAAATTTCATAATTAAAAATAAAAAAATACATTGTCTATTCGAACAATTTCTGATGCCCAAATTACATCTTCCAGTAAAATTTGGTGCACCTCATTTAAAAATGGCACCTTATGAATCCATATAATGGTCTATTTTTCTCCTCCTTTTCACTGATTTAAGGCGCATTAACGTGCACAATCTCCCTAAAAAATATCCCTCACTTTTAACTAACGACGCCCACTAGCAACTAATATCCGTTGTCCGTCACAGAAAACAATGGTGAATACAATTGTGGTTTACCAGATTGGTACTCCAAGGGTGTACAGGATATACGCTCCTCCATTATTGGGTGGACTTAAGTTTAAACTTCAAATCCACCAAATTCTCAACAAAAAAGAAGGCAAAATAAAAAGACGTGCAGGGGGGAAAGGGAAGTTGTATTTCCTGCGTAACCTAAAATAAAAAATTTCTTTCCATCTCGACAATTTTTCATCATCAAAGCTTTTTTCCAACTAAATGAAATTGACTACATGAATCCTAATATGCTATTATGCTTTATTAAAAGGCACATTTTTAGTGAGACCATAAATCCCCATCTTTTTTTTTACCAATCCCAACAAAAAATCTCAAAAAAAGTATAATCCCATATGAAAAACTCGGAAAAATCACATCTCCACATCCATGATTATGAATACAAAAGTCGAGATGAATCTCAAGCCCCATAAACGGTCCATCCTTCCTTTGTACAAATGGTACATTTTAAGTATTGATAAGATTCTCAACAAGCTTCTGCACCACTTTCTCAGGCCAAATTCTACATGACGGAACTAAAATGGAGTTGTTGAGTCATCCAGTGGAGTTCTTGAGCTGGATTTAATTTTTTCCATCAAGGTTTTGGGCAAAGCGATATACAGCCGCAGTCGTGCCGAATCCCCAACCAGAATAAAATGCCTAGCCAACTTGCAGCCAAGTCAAAGAGAGCAGTAAAAATATACTCAAAGCAACAAGTCTGTGGCCAAAGGCGGCAGATCTGAATTTTTTGGAAAGGTATTGGGCCACATTACATAGCCGACACCGAGCCAAGTCCATGGGAGCAGCAATTCAACAAAATACTCAAGAAACAAGTTTGTGACTGAAGGTGCTGGATCTGATTTATTCGGAGAGGTTATTTACAGAAAACAAAACTATGCCAAAATCTTAGCCTAAATTATAACCAACATAGAGCCAAGCTCATGAAGTTGACGGATCTGATTTTCCTGGAGAGGTTTTGAAGTAGGGCCATATGCTGTGTCAAAACCTCGACCTAAATAAAATGCATAGCAGACCTAGAACCAAGCATATGCGTAACAATTCAACAAAATACTCATGTAATATATTCAATAAATAAGCAGTAGCGCGCACACACACACACACATATATATATATATATATATCGCATCAGAGTGCATAAAAAAATGCCCATATAAAGCAGGCTGCTTAGCACCCCACACTTCCTAACCTGCTCATCTACAATGCTGCTCCAATACTTAATATCTATCGGATCTCGTGGCCTATAAGTAGAAAGAGAGAACACTATCTACATAGAGAAGAAAATGGGAGGGGGTTAAGAAGGAGAATCTATGAAATGGATCTTGTAATGTACGAGACCACAACTGTAATGTCATCAAGCTTGCCACCATAGTAACGGAAACCTGCATCTTGGGCAGCAGTAGAGAACGGAGTTTGGCGGTGCTGGTCTTGAGCTCGCTGCCTAGCAAGGGCCGCAATCTTTTGGGCAGTAACTTGAGGGCTCAGACCTGCTCTAACAGCATGGACCACAACAGCAGTCACCTCGCTATTGTAAAGGTTATCAAAGAGCCCATCTGTTCCTGCTATCATTACATCACCAGGTGCAACAGGAATCGAAAATATCTGTTGTTTTTGTTTTTCACAGGAGGAAAATTACGAATATAAGAAACTCGTGATAAGAAGGCATGTGTTTACTGATAATGTACAAGACAGGACACTAAAAAATAGGGTAAAAAAAGAACAGTTCATAAAAAATGATTATTTGCATTGCAGTGAATTTCATGGAGTGCCTATGGAATATCTGTGAAGAACCCAGTATATGCTAATTAGACAGAAAACAATATAATACAATTTAGACAACTCTGTTCACCTGTCAATCCAAGCAAACAACTGGACTTCAAGCCAAGATAGATTCCAGAAAATTGCATTGACCTATAACATAATGGAGAAATGCCAATAGAAAAAACATAATGGAGAAATGCCAATATAAAAATTGAGAACGCAGACTTTCCTCGCTAATCCAGTATAAACCAAGTACATGCAAGTGGTGAAGTGTATCTCGGAAAACATACATGCAAATCGGGGTGCAAATCCACCAGGCTGATTAGAACCAGATCCAGGTCTGGACCAGCAAAATGGACCCAGCAGCCAGGTCCAAAGACAATCCATTGGGGGCCAGAGCAGGGTCTGGATCCAGGTCTGCTCTGGACCCTGCCAGGTTAGGTCCAGGTGACCAGGTTGTTGTTGACTTGACCCATTGACACTCCTAAGATGCGAAAGCAGTTTTCTCTGTTTCTTTCTTTTTACCTTTCCTCTACGCAGAATAGAGGAAAGAACTAGGGGCGAAAGAGTTAAAGCACGGAAGGCATGTAAAAACAACAATATTTCCCCTGAACTCATTCAAAACACACAGCAAAAGCAATATCAAAGATAGTTTACATTTGCCTAACCTGAGCAGAGCTGGGTAGATCACTGCCATTTCCACTCTCAAGTTGGTATGTGAAGTTGAAATTGTGTTGCTGAACAGGGGAACGGAAAATGGTGCAACCGTCCCTAACCACAATGAACCCACTATCCCCAAGGTTGACTGCATGTAAGCCCTGAGGAGGATGAACATTTTTTTTCAACATTAGCATTCATTATACACTATACCATTCATAAATAAAAGAAATTTTATGCTAAAAAAGTTATAAACAGAAAATGCTCTTCAGTGTAAGAATGCAGAATACCAAAAAGAATTCCTTCCGCATTCCTTGTTTCTAACAATTAATGCCTTATTTACTGAACAGATATCTTCATGATTATCATTAAAAGCACACCAAACAGAAAGCTTTGATCCGATAAATTGTGTGTGGCACTGCTTCTTTGACATTTAAAATGAAGGAGAGCGGAAAGTTATGGTCCAAGTTAAAAAGACACTGATGTGTGTATCAGTGTGTGACAAAGATATACGAGCGTCAGAAAAGCCAACCTAAAAATTCGCCTTTCGGACACAACACACCCATACACCATTTAGATAAAAGTGGTGGGTAGGATTTTAGGTTAAATTAAAATACTACTATATTGAGATTTCAACAAGAAAGGCCAACAAAAGCCATCTAGGTTTCTAAATTGTAAGACAAGTGTCACATCCTAGTGTGTTGACAAGCACCAAAAACCTTATAGACATCGATGTTCCCGTTACATGGAGTACGGTACTAAAGACCATCTCGGGCATTCGGATCATCTTCCAAATATTCTTGGCAAACTATATATGTCAGGGGAACAAAGCATTCCCAATAATGACCGTATTGTCATTTTCAGAAAACCAACATCTTGATTTATTCAGGAACTAAAACCAACATCTTGATTTATTTAGGAACTACTTGCATGCACAAATCACAATGTAGAAAGTCCAATAAAAGGGAACTTTTCCTGGATGCAATAAGAACAAACAACAAGGGAAGCACCTTGTCTGTAAGTGCAACAATGCAAGCTGTCGAGGATCCCCGAGCTTTTGTACTAGTATAAGCTTTCTCCAAAACCCTAGCTGGATCAACGTAGCCTTTGGGTTCCTCCTCAATAGCTTTAACAGAGTGTGACATGAGCTCCCTTGCATATTGCCCAGCATCAACCCCTAGCTCCGCCCAACCACCTACACCATCAGCAACTCCAATGGCTTGCTCATCCACACATATAAAGTGAGCATCTTCTCCGCCAGTTTCCCCTTTATCAGGGTGTGGCAAATAACATGACCCTGACAAAAGCTTCAGGGTTTGGTCTCCCAATGCCTTCCTGTGATATGGTGACAAACAATAAGAAAAAATATGCAAGTTCCTCAATCTAATACATTTCATATGAAAGGATTAGTAAAAAAAAATTTAGTCGCTGCTAATGGCCATTGCATTGGAATCCAGAATCAGATGACAACGTTGAAGTTTAGTTTTTAAGTTTGCATGCCATAATATGAAAAAATAAGGGATTTGACACTGTTCAAAGAAAAAAAATCTCTAGAAAGTCTTGTTCAGTCTTTATTGGTAACTAAAATTTTCTGTAAATAATAAAGGGAGCACTGGCAGATCGCCTATTTAATACAATATCAATGACAAACATAAGTTCTAGAGCTCTACACAAAGACGGAATTCTGGAATTACCATTTATAATAAACATAAATACGATATCCAGGCCAAAGATCAACCAAAGCAAAAACTTGGCATGGAAGCAAAAACTTGGCATTTATAATAACATGCTTGAGTCTTTCCTTGTCACACTCTAGCACATTTTGATGTTCTACATGGTCTTACTGAGGTTAGGGCCCTGAGGAATGGAGGAACAAGAATTCATGTAGTCGACCTAATTAATTGGGATAAGGTATGGATGAGAATGATGACATGTAGCTTGATATTATTCAAGTAACGTGGCTCCTAAAAATAATATGATCAGCAAATGTCAGGAAAGAGAGTAAATCTGATTGATCAAGTGTTGACATCATGCTACCTAGAATTTATGAACAGCCTTTTTGGTCGTAGCAAACAAACCCACATGCTTTTTACAATCTCTTTTGATTCAAAATACCTCTGCACAACAACTCCCTCCCTCCATTGCTTCATCGCTCCCTCCCTCTCTCACTCCCTCCCTCCCTCTCTCCCAAAACTCGTGCCCCTTTGCAATCCTAAAATTGACGACTGAAATCCTTCAAGAGGACAGATTGGAGGCCAAGATCATCCACGGTTACAGGTGCTGAACTTATTAACAAGATTTATCGATGTTGGGGTTACAAATGGGAAATGCCTATCCTTGAGAAAGATTTCCATTGAACCAAACATGTTCCCTAAGCTCTCTTGTTTTGGATATTTTTAGGGCTCACATGCACCGATTACCTAATATCAATTTTGGGTTGGATAATGGTTTCCTAGAAGAACTCAAAAGAAGTAAAGATTGGGTTTTTCAAATTTCAATGAAAGAAATGTTTTGGTTTTCAGAAGTCTCTCAAAGCCTGGTTCACCAATTTTCTTTGGAAACACCCTTGGTCACAGAGATTCAAGCAAGAGTTTGAACAAGAAGTTGGCTTCCGAAGAAAAGGGGCTTGAGGAGTTGTAGAAAGAGCAGCGCCCTTTGCAACAGAAATTACATGGAGGAACAGTTCATCCTCTGCATGTCTTTTCCATATAGAAACTGAAGCAGAGAGATCCATCATCATCATCGAAGCCTTTTCCCAACTAATTGGGGCCGGCTACACAAATCCTGGTCTGCCATTCTTCTCTGGTAAGGGTCATACCCTCAATGAAGCAAAGAGATCCATTGAGATAATAGGTTGGAGGCAAGGGACAATTTAAGTGTCACAAAATGCACAAGATTTATTAACTAGTACTTCTAGAGGAGCATTTTTGTGCAGGTTTCGTAGTTCTTGCTTCAATGGCGATGATGAATTTATTGTTCTTTTTTGTTGTATGAACATGGTTGGATTGAATCCTACTTGAATTTTGGGATTGGCAACGCTTCAATGGATTGGTGAAGAATTGAAAAGAGGGACCTTTCATTCTTCTAGGAGTCTGATTGTCTTCATTCGATTAAATACTTGGATTGTGTAATTTCACAGTTTTATGCAAACTGTTATAATAGGTGTATAAATTCATTTTCCTTCTTGGGTGCAAAAGATTGTTCATTCAAAAGAATTTCTGGATTTTGTAATCTGATTCATGCATTTGTCATCATATTGAATTGGGTTTCAGATTTAAGGGAACTCTGTTCTTGTTTCTGTTTACTAGATTTCTTCATTGAACTATCTATTTCTTTACTTGTTATTTTTCTTTTTGTTGGGAAATTAAGTCTTGTATGTTTTTCTTTGATTATGAGTGGATACGCTTTGTCATTTAAATGTGAAATGAAGGTTCTGTATGTTCTATAAAATGAGGATCTCAGAAGCAAGCTTGGGCGGAGGGCAAAGAGTGCATGGCAGGGGGAGCAAGGGATTGTGTATAACAGGAGCAGAGGACTGGATAATGTTTGTTCCTTTTCTTATAACAAGCAGGAGTAATTTGGTAAAAAAATACTTTAGAAAAAGCATGTGGAGTTTGTTGAGAAGAAAGAAAATGGTTGGAATTGTTGCCACCAAAAAGGCTTGGGGTTTCTTGTAGGGCTGGTTATGGTTTGGGGTGGAATATTCAGTTTCCCTGAACATCTCTAAGGCAAGCACAATCAATATAATGATCATAGCAATAAATTTGGTTAATACATGGATAGAATCATAACAATAAATACCTAAGGAGAAGCATCAGAAACTTACTGATCAGAAGCAACCTGGCTATTCTCAACTTGCTCATCTCTTGAGGATCCATCAAATGACATATCAGGAGCCGCACCAGCAGAGTATGGCATGGAAGAGGAGCCATGAAAATCATTGGCCTTCGGAGTCAATAATGAACTGGACCTACTTCCCAAGCCAGAAAGATCAAACAAGAAAGGACCACAAGCAATATTCGACCCAGCTGGTTCCCTATTTTTCATACTCCCTCTCACTATTCTACAGTACTCACCACATTTGACACTGTAAAAAGTACGAGCATTTGACCCCTGAACGGCCTTTACCCCAAGTGCTAATTGTCGAGGAACCAACCGCGCTCCAATAGTAAAAGCACCAGAGCACGACATTAGCATAAACACAATAGGCTTGCTCGTAGAAATACACTTGGAGTCTGAGAATGCGCAGCTAACATGATACTCGCATATCTGACATGAGGGCCCAGAAACTGAGGGCACTGCAAAAGTTCGAGAAAGGGTCCCAGCAATGGAGAGTGTGTTCCCTTGGTTAGATGCCTGCTTAGATGCTTTGTTCACTATATTACTCTGCAGAAGATTTTGCAAGATGATCAAAGGTGAACAATGGTCCGATCTAGCAACATGTAATCCTGATGGTGAGATTGCAGGCCATTTAGAAAGAGCAAAAACTGGGTGAGGGCAAGAAAACCAAGAATTGGCAACACGAAATCCTCGTCGAAATGGGGACCCAATGAAACTTCGAAGAGTTTGGTCTTGAAGTGGATTCCAACTAGGTAAAAGGAGCGCAATCTTCAATCTCAGAGTGGAAGAAGTAGATGGCATCGTAACCCAAGAAACAAAGTAACCAAATCACAATTCCAACTTTCAGTGCTCCACATGAAATTCTCTCTCCTACATCAGGTTCTATCAATCATATGATCTCAACACCTCATCATCAATTCTAGCAAGGCTTAAGTTAAACGAATTATGTTTTCCAAGATAAATAGATTCAGATACCTGATCAAAACAAATATTAACGAGGTAAATATCACGCCAAGGAATATATAGAAAAACACAGAAAATTACAAAAATTTTTAATAGGGAAAATTATTACTCAGTAACAGGTTGATGACGTTTTTTTCCCTTTTTTTTAGAGGGGGAAGGGGGGGGGGGGCTAGGGGGTGAGGTCCACGTAGAAAGTAAAATCGCAGAAAATTAAAGCCGGAGAATAAAAAAATACAATGATTTGTGAAAAGACTTACAACAGAAATAAAGAAATTAACATATGAAAAAAAAACTCTTTCCTTCAAAACCCTAAATCCAAACCCCCAAGGCATGGTACCGCCTTCACCAATTCCAAATTCAAACCCCAAGATGAATCACTCCCAAAACCATATCAAAACTAGAAGCAAAGCCCCCACAAACTCAAACAACTCCCTTAAAGTCGCAAACCATTCCAAATAAACCTCGACCCACACAAACTACACCACAAACAAATCAGGAACCCCAAACATAATGTCGAACTAGATTCAGCAAACCACCATCGAATCAGGTAAAAACCCCAATAGTGACATCAAATACAAATCAAAACTAGAGCACATGAAACAAAGAGCTTATCAGAAATATCATGCGATATAGTTGCAGAGAAGCCATTGAAGGCGAAGAGTGAATACCTGGTGTGGAAGGCCAAAACCCTAGCCCTATTTTTTGGGAGTGGGTTTTGCTTTCTCCTCTTCATGTATCCTTCTATTTGATTTGATGACCAAAGACCGCAATACAAGCGTGGAAAACTCAAGAACTCACCTGTATATATAGAAAGTTATGAATGACGAAAAATTCCAGAATATCATTAGAAATTTCGATATTACGCCTAGGCCGTTTTAGAGGCCCAAGTGACCCCTTGTGGGCAGTGAGTAGGGGTGGCAACGGTTGAGGCCCGGTTCAACCCGACCCAATTAGACTTTACCCAGACCTGGACCCAACCGTGATCCAGGTTGGGTCTAAGTGATTTGGACCTGGACTCAGGTTTATAAAAAATAAAACATATTTTATGTATTATTTATTAATTTAAATTTCATGTATTTTATAGCAGGTACCAAGAGGGTTCCAATCCAAATCCGGACCTGGGTCGAGTCTAAGGATCCACAGGGTCCAAAATACGAACCCGACACAGACCCGGTTGGCCACTCACCAAAAAAATGCGCATTTTATCTCTCTCTATTCGATCTCCTCTATGAGGCATGCTCCCACTCTCGTTCTCTATCATCATCACTTAGAGCACGTTTGTTTGGCATAAGTTTCAGCTTCAAAAGCCGAAACCTCGAACATCTCAAGTCCATGACGGGTATGAAAGTCCTTCTCTTTGTTGCTTCTCTTCATTTAAACTTTGTGTAATATGAAGTTTAAACCATCCTTAGGCGTGGTAATGGCCACATGACCAACTTTGACCAGTCAGCCCGGCCCTAAAAAAAAACTAAGGCTAAATCACAAAGATATAGCTCGAGGGTTGGGCCAAGGCCAAGCCATTACAGCCTCAAGGTCGGGCCAATCCAGACCGGGGCTAGAGCCATGAAAGGGTTGGCCCTGCCTAGACAAGGCCAGGGCCTGACTCAGGCTGGCCCCATAAAGGCTGATGCTAAGGGGCAACTTCTATATTTCACCACATTTTTGGAACCCGAGACTTTTGACCGGATACACTTGTGGGTGTAGTTTTTGTAGGGCTGCAGCTTTGTAATATTTGGTGAAGTCCCATGTCAAAACTTTGTAAGAAAGTACAATTCAAGCACTACTCTTACAATGTCATGTAAATCAACCAATATGCTCGACTAATTTGAAGCTATGAAGAGGAGGCAAATCTTGCAATAAATACCTTAAAAATGGATTAGAAAGATGTGGGAAAAACCATTTTTAGCTTGGAATCCTTCTTTTAGCCAAGCTCTTCGGATTGAAATGATTGATTTGAAAGTTTTCTTACACAAAACTATGTTTTTTTGCAAGATTCGAGGTGTGGCTTTATAAAATCGAGGACCTACAAAATACTTTCTCTTCGTCCGTATCTCTTTTTTTTTTATCTTTTTTTTTTTAGCCATTAACATAAAAACTTTCATTAAAAAAATCAAAACTACAGGTGGTACAAATAATATTCACCAGAAGGATGTGATCGCCAACGATAATTGGTGGACATCTCCCTTAACGAGAGAGTTGGCTTTTGCATTAGCCTCCCAATAACAATGGCGAATGTCAGCATTTACAGTATGCATATTCCATATCTTCTTTCGCATCTCTCACGCATACACTCTCCGTCATACATTATTTTGCATTCGTTCAGTGCTTCGGCCAATTCATCTCTCTCGTTCATAGTAAACGATGTATTTAAATCAGAGCTTTAAAAAGATGCTGACTTAGATTCGAATCATCCAATCCAAATCAGGATCGATATATGGGGATTAAGCCTTTAGGCTGATTCCCACCATTTATGTTTTCCTCATATCATTTTTTCTTTATTCCTTAGAGTTAGAATCACCAAATCAAATTGGCCCAACGGGTTACCGAGTTGGCCACCTGATCTGCTTTTTAAAACATATGCATCAGAAACTTGGACATTTCCTTACCTTCCTTTCTCAAAATCTCACTATGAAAGTATTTAAATATTTCTTATAGTCTCTTTGTCATATTGAACACTAAATTCCTATATTAGTATGACTGTCATGTCTGTGTCAAATATTAACACACGTATCTATGTCTATGGAATTATAATTGTATTTTGAGCGTGTATAGTTTACTCTTATGAGATCATACTGTACATTTACTTTTCAAGTGCAAGAGCTACTGAGGTTCAAATGGTTACTTCTTTAAAACTAGGACATTGAGCATAACATGCACAACAAAATATGATACAACACCATCTCCCCCCCTCTCTCTCTATCTCTCTCTCTCTCATAATTTGCGCAGGACTATATGTGCTCCATACTGAGGCTGCACAGTGATGTCCAACATAGGAGCATGAACATAAGTAGGAGAGATCACAAAGGAGAACCGCTGCAAAAGCATAGCCAACACAACTTTGGTCTCAATGAGTGCTAAGTTTTGGCCTACACATATTCTAGGGCCCAACCCAAATGGTACAAAAGCTGCCATGTGTTTTCTTGCAACTGAGGGACCACCAATGAACCTTTGGGGATTGAAGTCCTCAGCATCCTCACCCCAAAGACTAGTATCATGGTGGATGGCTGATATGGGCAAGTCTAGCTGTGTGCCTGAGGGCAGGTAATATCGCCCAAGTTTGACATCCTTGTTAGTCTCTCTTTGGAGAAATGGGGCAGGGGAATAGAGCCTAAGTGTTTCATTTACAATCATTTCCACCTGTATGTGTAAATAAAATCAAGCACCACAATATAAGTATGAGGTTTTCTCTCAAGATTGAAATGTTTAAAAAGATCAGGACATTCCGGGCTAAAAAATGCTGAAATTCCCTTACTCCCATTTCAATAATTTTTAAAATTTCAATTAGCCACGTTCGATCAGGGAGAATCGGGCAAGTACCGATCCCGAGTCAGAGGCTGAATCGGATTTTCAAAAAATGCTTGTGAGAAAATGTCAAATGGTGTGTGGGACACATAGATCATGTAGGTATGAAAACTAGGATAAGAGGAAGTGCTTAGAACAATTGGATGAATATTGGATAAATTAGGTATTTTAATAAAATGCATTAAGTAAATCTATAAAGAATGTACTTTAGGGTTTGCATACAATACAGTGACTTGGATTTCCTAATGATTCATAACACTCTCCCAACCGTTGGATGTTGATACTAGACAATAGAGGGAGTGTTAGGAAGCTGTAGCACATCCAAAAGACAGTATATTGTAGTTTCTCTATATGAGATAGCAGAAAAAACTTGTATATAAGTAAAAATTGGCCAATTAAAGGCTCAAGAAATATGTTTGATATATTTAAGAGGACCACTTGTCTTTTGTCCAAGGATGACTCATTCACTTTTTGTCGTTAGATGTGAAATTGAGAGGCTGGGAGTTTGTTATAGACGAACTCAAAGTATGAAGGAAAAATTTCCCCACTTAGTGACATAGATCAAGATAACAAATTTCACATTGAATGGCAAGAGGTAGTTGTAACCTCCTTGTATCAAAAATAAATGATCCTATTGTATATAATCTATTTGTCACAGAAGTCTAGTTTTTAGGCCATGTTTAGAGGGTTGAAGAACTCAAAATTGGGACTTATTTATGAAGGGAATATATACTGAAAATTGGGACTTATTTATGAAGAACTCAAAATTGGGACTTATTTATGAAGGGAATATATACTGAAAGAAAACTTACCCTTCGAAACAAAACGATCACAATCACTTTAGCTGTCACACATGAAATTGGGAGGATAGAAGTGTATCATTTATTTTTATGAAGTCATAAAAAAATTTCTCACATTTTTAATTTGGTGAATGGAATACTCCCAATGGCCTGATTTAATATCTAATAGCTAGGGTTGATTATGATTTAAAAGTTCTATTGTATATATTCCCTACATGTTTTTATACCTCAAGGTCATAAATATTTTAACAATATATCTGGATTACAAAAGGGCATCGTCCTTAAATACTAGAAAGAACCAAGATGGGACATTTTTTTACTCCTAAAGAATCATAAGAAAAAAATGAATGTGACCCAAAAACTTTGCAGGCTCAAATGGGACCCTAGAAAAAATATAATTATCTACATGAAAAATCTAAAGAAAAATCTTAAAGAAGAAATGCCGAGAGAAGATTGATCAATGTGGTGAAGAGGAAAAAGAATCAGAGAACCAAAAGTTCAGATTTCACATACAATTTTGAGGTCATTCAAGTTGTCTGCATCAGGAAACTCTTTGCAAACACGAAGGACTTCCTCGCGCGCTTTGTTTTGCCACTCAGTGTGTACCGCAAGAAGGACGACAACCCATGTCAACAGATTTGCAGTGGTCTCCTTCCCTGCAAAGTAAAATGTTTTGCACTCATCCACAATTTCTTCGAGATCCATTTTTTGATCTTCTCTCTCTTGGACTTTATTTGTAGTTAGTAGGAGGCCAAGTAGATTTCCACAGTTTTCTCTCTCTCCTTCCTTCTTTTGGATGAGTTTTCGAAATGCTGATCTTATTTCTCTTTCTAGTTTCCATCTCCTCCGATTCTTTTTAGTTGGCACAAACCTACATGGGTTAGATTATATCTATTAGAATCATGTTGTAAAATAATTTAATCATATATTTCATTCGTGGCTTCACATAAAAGAGTGCCAGCTTCACTAAAAATTTGTGAAGATATCTTTTTTCAGGCAAATAATGAAGAGAAATCATTATTTTCATCTCTTGAGACCAAAATTGGGACAAGCACTATTGGGTAAAAAGGTAGAAGGAGACTCAAGGTAGAAGGAGACTCAGAAAATGTCACAAGGTGGAGTAGAGAATAAGCTAGGGTTATTCCTGTTAATATATGAGATCAGAGACATTTTAGGAGAAGGAGATATTTAGATACTATGTTACTTAAAGAACAACCATGGAGAGAGATGATTTGGCCAAGCAAGGAGTTACCCATTTAGAATTGATAGTCACCAAGTTTGATTCATGACACAGTTTTGTAAGATCTTTATTTCTTATTTATGAAAGGGCTATATGTAAAGAGTTTTAGGTTTTTCCAAAGAGACTCAGTGTTCATAAATTAATATGAATGTACAAGCTTGTCTTGTATAGATAAATACATATGACAATATAAAAACTAAATCACAAACATCTAAATCATACCCAGACTTACCATAAAATACATATATTATACCTACCCTTCCCACATATATTGCAATATATATACTTTCCATATTAACCTTGTACACAATATATAATATATATACTTTCCATATTAACCTAGTACACAATATACAATATATATACTTTCCATATTAACCTAGTACACAATATACATTTTTCTTTGTCACTCCCCCTCAAGCTCAAGATGCTATGAGTGAGAGTAGCTAGAGTTTGGACACTGGTTGCGGAAACGAGCAGTTAAATCTTCAGGTGCATACTCATATTACTTGATCAACAAGCACAAAAATAAGTAGCAGAGCAACGACGGATCAACAGGAGCAGAAGGCAAGACCAAAGCAATAAATCAGAGTTCAGCAGTAAACAAAAACTTCCAGTCTTCACCGGAGACAGAAAAACAGTCGAAACAACAGATAAAAACAAAATGACACATGGAAGAGCCAAAAGATTTAGCAACTCGTTGATTGGAGCAAACATGATCGAGTAATAGAACAAGCAAACTCGATTATACAACAAATTTTCGGAGAGTTTTTTTTTTTTAGGTCGAGTTTCCGATGGTCAAAGAATAGAATCAAATAATAGAGTAAAATACTCGATCTTACTAACAAGAAGAGACCGAGCAAAGAAAAAATTAGAATAATGCATGAGGTTTTTTTTTTTTGGGGGGGGTGGGGGGGGGGGGAGGGGGTGAGTGGGGGGCTGGTTTTTTTTTAAGGGTTTCATAAGATCAATGACAATATCATATTAGAGATTTCAGACGGATCTGTACCTTGAGACCAATATCCAAAGGAAAAAAAAAAAGATGGAAGGGCAGGTTTTTAGATAGGGCAAATCAGTTTTTTTCGGATGCCATTTTGAAGAGGTAGATTTAGAAGCAGGTTTCAAATCTGGCTATACGTCTCAAAAAAAAAAGGCTGAGCCAACAACTCAACAACATCAGTATATAGTATACAAGATCAGCTGCTAAGGCACCCAAGAATGGATGGCTCCTGAACTTAATCGCAACAAGTCCTTTACAGAGAAGTGCGATGTGTTAGCCTCGGAGTAATAATGTGGGAGCTTTGCACCTTAAAGAGGCCTTGGAAGGAGTTCATCGGATGCAAGTAACTTGACCAACTAACATCTCTATAGTAATTTGACCATCATTGATCTCTACAAAAATCAGAATGTCTAAAGAAACAAATTCGACGAAAGTTACAGAGCTAGATCCATAACAAATGACGGAAATAACTATGCAATATACACGGTTATTTCATCCATTGAAAGATAGCGACAGATCAAGCAGAGGCGGTCTTCCTTTGCTGGAATATGACTGTGTATACTGAGACGAATACACCAATGCCAAATCAAGTCCACACGGATGCTTCATCTTGTCTAGGCTTTAAATGTGCTTTCTCAATACAGGCATTCTAGAGAGAGAAAGACAACATAGAGGACACAATCATACAGTAGATGGGTCGTCATGATTTTGGTGGCTGGTTTGCAAAGAGTCGAAACACAACTCGACAGAAGGGCTTTGATCAAATAGTCGAAAAAGACTAGGTAGACAGATAGATCAAAGAGCCGAAATAAGACTCAGCAAAGAGGACAGATCAGAAAATCAAAATATGACTCGACAAAAGTTACACCGATTGGGTGAACAACAAGCTTGTCTTAAAAATAAGTAACAATGCTTCATGGACAAGGAATGGACATAACGAATATGAACCTGGCTCTAATACCATGTGAAGAGTCTCAGGTTTCTTAGAAAAAACTCAGTATCCATTAATTTATATGAATGTACAAACTTGTTTTATATAGACAAATTACAGATGACAATAGTATAAATATATCCTAGACTATACCCTTCCCAAATATAATACAATATATATACTTTCCATATTAACCTAGTACACAATATGTACTTTCTTTTCACACTATAGACCTATGACAATATGCACATGTATAGGCTGTGAATGATTAGCAATGAAAAGTTTCAAATAATATTTTATTTTTTTAAAAAGAAAAACCTTTTATGATTCGTCATATACATAGAATTTAGAGAAATTTATGCTCACATCACCATATATAGTTGTAATTACAATATTCCTCTCGGAGTTTTGTATTTTGCATTCATACCCATTTTTCTTTTTTTTTCCTATATTCACCTAAGTTCGTGACAACTTCAGATTGAAATCATGAAGAATTATTTTACTCCGACTTCGGATCTTCAAGTTCTAAGGTGAACTTTTGATCTTGACTTTAGGCTTTTAAGGTCCTAAGTTAAAGAATTTTAAGACTTGAATTCAAATCATGAATACCCGCATTAAAGAATTTTGTTATTAGTTCAGACTTCAGATGTTGAAGATCCAAGGTCAAAACTTTTAACTTCACTTTGGATCTTTAAGATACAAAATCAATATTTATTGGCCACATTGGAAATAGGGGCATTTTCAAAAAACTGTGAAAAGGTAGAGATAATGGGTAAGAACATAAAACAAAAAATGTAAATTTCTTTACAAGTTATATATATTGGCAACAAACCGACAATAATGTCATAGACTTGTGCTCGTTTTTATCAAGCTATAAATTAATGCATAATATTTTTTATGTTAACTAGCTAATAATAGTCCATCAAGATTATACAATTCTCTAACCCCAAATAAATATAAATTATAAGTGAATAGGGATACATAGGAAGCTTGTCCAACAATGAAACCTCTCGTTTACTGACTCATGCAGATCATCAATGTGCACTCACATGTTAATGGCAAAAAATACCTGAAGCCTGGGATGTATACACTGCGTAAAGATTCAGAAACATATATCATTTGCTCCTCTTGCATTTTTACAATGTGGTTTCCCTCTTCATAATTGCTCCCAAATGCTGTTCTGGATATGAGATCAGCTGTTAGCTTATGAAGCTCTTTGTTCACTTCCATCTCATATTCACAATCCCCTACAATTTTCTCCCACTTTTCCAACATTTGTGTTGTACTCGCAACCATAGCTGGTACCATGGCCTGCAGATCAACAGTTAAATGTGTACATGAATACAAATTAAATAACCTAAAAGATTTATGCTCTTTTGGGAGTATATCGCCATTTACTGTCTTGAGTAAAACTCTATCTTGGTGTGACTATGGGACCCCAAATTTTTGGGATATAACCAACACAACCCATAGAATAATCTCATAAAAAAAAATCCGAATAGTACTCTTTTGTGCATATGAAAAAGATAATGTCACAAGATTGAACAAAAACCTTCTAATTTTTTGAGGGTGAGTTTTAAGTGATAGAAAACCTAAAATGTAAATTTTTTCTTTTGAAAATAATCATCTAGTAATTCTTATGCAGTTTTTTGAAATTGAAAATGAAAAAATCCTCTTAAATAGGTCATCTGCATGAGGGAATAGGCGTATAATACTCCTTCGGGAGCATGGTATATAGGCTCATTAAAGAAACATATGTAATAAGAAATATCTAATATCTTTGGATTTGTATACAATATAACATTTGGAGTGTAAAGATCCCAGACACCTCAAGTTATCAAATGTAAAATCAGACTCATGGAGTATGTTAGTCCTACACATATAGATTTGAGAAAAAATTTCTCAGACATCGAGCACAATCAATCATGTACCCCCAACCGTCAGATTTCACATTGATAACTAGAGGAGATTATGCCCTTTATGTACCAAAGTACGCTTTCTTTTATCTAAAAAGACGACACAAAACTTGGAAGAACAATCAAGCATTATTAAAAAACAGGAAAAAGGTGCACTTGTATCTACCGTCCATCTGGGTGGCAGATGATGGGATCAAACATAAGTATTACAACAAGTCATTTTTTTCCACTTCTATTATATACAAATAAAAAGACATACGTAATACATATTTTGCGCAATTAAATCATCACAAAATTGCATCTACCGTTCATCGTCATAAGAGGATGATGGAGATGGACTAGTGTTCTTTATTAGGGAGAAAGAGTAGTGAAGAAAATTGAACTTAAGGTAGTATTACAAAAATCGGTGGGCTGAATTGGAATTGACCGGTTGGACCCGCAACTAGAAGCCAATGATCCGAGTCTAGACTAGATCGGGATTGCTTGATTCCCCCGACTTTCAATATTTTTTTTTTATAATTATGTTCGGTTCACTGAGCTCAATGTTTGGAAAATCAGCTCAAGGAATAGACTTGGTCGTGGCGCGCTGAGTTATTTAGACAAGTCCGAGTGGATTTCTTTGAGCAGTGAGTATGGCCCAAAAATTCCTAAAAATAAAAATAAAAACTGAAAATCTATTGAATAAACATAAACATAGTAAAAGTTAAACAAAACAAAAAATAATATAGAAAATCCAAGCTGAAAATATATATATATAACATAGATTTAGAAAACATTGATTTATATTTGGCGACATTTAGAAATAAAATTAAAAAAATAGGACATATGACGAGAAAAACTAATCAATCATTGTAAAAAAGTTGTGGTTTGTATAGGGCCTACGCTCTGAACAATCAAATTCGAGCCTGCTTGAGAAATGTGGTTTCAATATTGGAAATCTTTGTGATAACCTTAAAATATATTTTCATCTTCATTTATAAAGTTTAAAGCTTCAAAAATAGTGTAGGTCAAGAAATCTATGAAAACTTGAAAATCTTTAAAAGTGACAGTCTAAAACAGCATAACAAAATACACTATTTCCAAAACTTAAGATCCATTTTTTTATTATGTCCATGCATCTTGATGTCGAGATGATCAATTTGAGGATATTTGAGCATCAAAACAACTTCTTTTAGTGAAAGTTTGAGGTACGCTCTATATAAACATTTTCCTTACAAAAAAATACATCCAAATTATATAAAAAATAATTATACATTGACATCAAATCATTTTCTTTTTAGATACCCTAAGTTTTGACTCCACTCAGTAAGGGGCGGAGTCCAAGTAACACAATCAATCGAGTCCAAGTCCAAGTGGACTCAGCGAAGTCAAAATCTAACTAATCCAAATCGAGAATCACACATTTAAATCGGAATATGCCCTTGAAACCCAATCCGATTTTTACAACACCGATTGAAAGGATATATATCTACCTTCGTTGGCTCCATGTGGAAAGCTGGGTTTATAACTCTTCTATGCAAAGTCCATTTTTGGCCCTTCAAGCCTAATAGCCCTTGACCAACCAAAGGCTTAGAAAGAGGGTCAAGATCGATCCTATCAAAGCATCCCCAGACGTTTAAGAAGACTTCTCTCATAAGATCCGGCTCCCCAATGGCAACCCTAGGCTTGGGCCCAAACCAATAAACAAATGTTTTCCCTGTCATCAAAAGTTTCAAAATTTTAGTGAAAAAAAAAGAGAAATTTATAAATTGAAGAGCTTTGTGCCTCTTTGTAAATATAAATTATGTTTGTAAAAATTTATAGTAAGTTAGTTGATCAAGATTGAATAGTTGAGAGTGAATAAAAAACAATATAACAGTTTATTTGCATATTATTCAGCCATAATTCATGCATATAATTTTTATCGATTTATTCTCAACTCTTTCTTCTTTCATCGAACAACTGAAAGTGACTAATATCACTAAAATACACAGGAAACCCGACCTAATTTGAAACCCCCCAATTCACCTATAAAATGAACGGGGGCCTCAAAATTTTGTAAACATTAAAGTAAGCGATGTTCTAGCCTAAAATTCAAATAAAAAGTACTATGGCTCTTTTAATTGGTTTTTCCCATGTGTTTAGTGATCACGCGCCCACAACCTTCATGTTCCCTAAGTGATGGATTTAGGTCATTAATCACAACACTTAAAATCACCAATTAAATGTAACGAGTTTATGATGTGGGTGGGTTACTGAAATTCTAAATGGCAAAGTTTACCCTCCTTCCAAAGCTACAATCCAAAAAGGTAGTACTCTTCTTAAACAATGATCGAAAAATCGCTGATCCAACCTAGATTTGGATCAGGATTATTAGTTAGTCATATTTGGATTTGGGAATCCGGAGTTGTTATTCTCCCGTTTTTAGCTTCGCTTTTTTATATTATTTGTTTTAAGTCCTTTCAATAACCTGATCCAATCTGGTAATCGCCTAAGTAGGACCGGTCGGATTTGGATTTTGGACCCAGACAATCCAAGCCCCATTCCCATTTTTTGAAACAATCAAAAGTCCGAAGCACGAAGCAAAAAGCATAGAGACACCCTCTCTAAGGTGGGGGCAGCAATTGGTCAGGTCGGGTCCAACAGGACACAGACCCGGACCTTAAAAATATGATATGGGAGGCAGATCTATACTTGACCGAACTCGATTGGACCCATTTTCAGACCCGAATAGTATTTGGGTCCAAGATTTAAACCCGGATCCGACCCACCGGGTCCAATGTTTAGACCAATAACGGGACCCAAATCGAGTTTACCCCTCAGGTGCTTGTTTGGGTCCAAATCCATTCGCACCCCTACCGTAAGGATAATCTCTCTCTTAAACACAAGCAAAGCATGACCCTCGCTTCCTAAGGATTGTGCTCTCTTAAGCACAAAGCAAAAGAATATATATATATATATATATATCTCGCAAAAAGCATATGTCATTCTCTTTAAGGGTGATAATCTCTCAAGCACAAAGTAAAGCGCGAGTTTCTCTAAGGGTGAGCAGATTAGTGATTAGTATCTCTTAAGCATAAAGCAAATCTGTGTGTATATATATGGGGCAGAGTATTATATTACCGTAAATAGGGGACCAGTGGTGGTAATGAGCTATGACCCTGCAGAGCGTTTTGTGAGAGAGGGGGAAGGTTTTGGAATGGGCATCATTGAAAATTTTGACGAGTTGGGGGAGATTTCCAAAGAGTAGTCTGTAGGGAGGTCCTGAGATGCCTTGCCTCCTAAAGTGGGACTGGAGTTTGAGAGGAGACCACACAAACTCGTATATGCATTTGATGAAGATAAAGATAAAGATGAGAGAGAAAAGCACAACCAAAACCATTGCAGACCTGAAAAAGTAGAGAGAGAGAGAGAGATCTGAAAATGGGTGAGAGAAGAGAATTTATAGAGAGAGAGAGAGAGAATGAGTGAGAGGTGGGAGAAGAAAATCTAGAGAGAGAGAGATGGTTGCTTAGCCCAAGGGTGTTGTCCATTTACTTAATGAGATAGTTGTCAAGGTACATATCAGCTGATAATTTAATTACAAGGTTTCATTAAGCCAAAATATGCCTGGGGTACTTCTTCGTAAGGTTTTAATAATTGAAATCTATTTAAAAATTAGTGCCTTGGCCACAAAATATGGCTTTAACCGCCGAGCCATGTGGGTAACGTTTTAATTATTTGAATCCGTTGAAAAATTAGGGAGTGGGCCACAAAATAAAATATCGCTTATGGCTTAAGAGCTGAGCCATCATGGCTCTCGGAATGGGCCGGGCCGGGCATATAATAGGTTGGCCAGATGGCCAAGCCTATCCCAAGGTCTCACGGCCCAATCAGGATGGGGCCGAACTCTGTTTGGCCCTCTGGGGATCAGGGCTGGCTCGGAATAATTCTAGCTTTCTGCCATCCCTAGTCGGATCAACGTATAAACAAATAAATTGAAAAAAAAATAAGAAGCTAATAATCAGGAGGATCAGGTCGTATATGGGGTTCCTCAAACCTGAATGGATCCAAAAAAAATGCGAAAAAATCGATCCATGCCATATTTTTGCATGAAGAAAATAGCATCCAAAGAGTGAAGAAAGACCATCTAACTTTTGGATGGTCGACATTTAGAACTCAAAATCTTAAATTCCTTTTTTTTTAAAGAAAGACTCCTTTTGCTATTATGAAACGGATCCCAAAATTTCGTACCAATACAATCCTCCCAATTATATCTCAAGTAAATAGTGTGGTCCCACGGGGGCTATGACTACAAAAGGAATATAGGATCTGTGTATTTTTGTATTGTTATAAAAAAATATGAAAGAGTTTATACTATATGACCATATACCTTTGGTAGAAGCAGGACAGAATTACTCACAACCATCAAAT